TCTCAAAACTGTTCAGGTCCCCATCGTATTTCATACTTTCAAACACAGCTATGGCGCAATGGATTGTGGACTGGAATCTTTCTAGGCTGATCGGGTCCTGCAGAGAAGGAGAGGGACATGCAAACACCTTCTCCAGAGTTGAGCTCACAATGTCCTCCTGTCTGCCGAATCTTTCCTGGAGCATCTTGATCGCCTCACCGTACAAATTCCCATCATACAGCAGCCCCTTTATGGTCTGTTGCGCCAATCCGGTTACTGCAGACTGAAGATGAATCATCTTTTCAGTGGGCGTCAGCATCTCCTGATCATGTACCAGGGTGCGAAAGAGCGCAAACCACTTCACCCACTCTCCCGGATTACCATCAAACTTCGGAAGTGTGAGTCGGGGAAGGGCACAGTGAAGCAGTGGTTCTGAAACACCACGGGTTTGTAGTTGAGAAGCACCTGGATGCTGGTTGGCTCCATCAGTGGTAAGCTCATTCCCATTCCGAGTGGGTACATTGACACCAGCACTGGTCACAGCAGCGTCAGCTACACCAGCTGTAACAGGACACTGATCAGGATGGGGACGTTCAGAACGATCACGTGGTACATTGAGACAATGGGGGAGGTCTGAACCCAGTGTCGCAGGTTCCACAGCAGAGCCACGATCCAGCCCAGGACGGTCAGTGGGAAGCTGAGCCGCGGGTTCTCCAACAAAGTCATCCATCCGATCCCTGTTAAGATCATCCCCAGTCTCTGCGGCGCACAGAAGCTGGGCCTCGAGTTCAGCAGCTGCTCTGGCGTCCTCTGCCGCCTGTAGCTGAAGTTTCCTCTGTATTTCCTGTTCTTGCTTTTGCAACTCCAGCCGTTGTCCAAGTTGCTTAGCTTCAAGACGCTTTACCTTTGCCGCAATCCTGGCTCTGTCAGATGCCGTGGACTTGGAATTGGAGACATGGCTGCCAGATGCCACAGATGGTGCCTCGTCCTTCCGGCTGATCAAATGCTCTTCGATTCTGCTAACAGCGTCCTCATATTGTTTCTCTACATCCTTCATGTACACTGCAGCTGATTCGAGCTCCACGTCTTCTGTCAGCAATGACACATACTGCTCATTCACCTCCTGAATTGCCTCCAAGGCCTGATCCAGATCCTTCAATAGCTCACTTAGCTGGGTGCGGCTTCCCTTTGCATCGATGATGATGAAGGCACGTCTCCTGATCCTGGTCAGGTTTCCCAGCTTCTTAGCCCTGGCACCTTTCAGCGACTTGACATCCATTTTGTACAATAATTCAACAGACTGAGCAGCAGAGAGATGAGCCGATCCTTGTAGGTATGAGACTTCAATGTCCAACACGGACTTCGAAACTGTAGCGGTCTTTGTACTCCAACATGCTTCTGTACGTTGAACGCTTTATTGTACACAAAAATGAAAGACGTAAAGGGAAGGATACATTGAAAGGCAAACAAAGGAAAAAGATAGAAACAGAAGGAATGGCACAAAACACAGCCTTGCGCGCATGCAGCAAAGTGGGGTTTCTGCAAGCAGAGACAGCACATAACACAGTCAATGACACAGAAGTTAATGAGCGATGACCATTGACAGACAAAGAGAAAATGAAGATGGCAACAACCAATGATAAGCAAACATATGAAAAAGTAGATCATATGCAAAGTAAAGCGTTACCGAAGTTTCCGCTCCCAGTTCATGCCAGTCTCAGCATAGCAGTCTCAGCATGCCATCTCATCATGCCAGCTTGTCAGTTCAGGCACACACAGTTAATATTTATACATGTCTGTCAGTGCAAGACCTGAGAAAAGAGAAACCTCAGTAAGACTCGGTGGTCGCAACAAAAATCTTGCCGACTCTGACTTAGGAGACGGAGCACTACGTGCTCCAAAGTCATACTCTTCACCTGTTTGCTTGACCATATTACGCTCGTTGATCTTACGCTCGTTTTCAAATTATACCTTATCGATGCTCTCAGCCCATACTTTTATTTTGGACGAGTGTTTTCAGCGAAAAACAGCAGAACACGGCGTTATCTGATATTATCTTATATTAGATTGTATTTTTACTTGTATTTACGTCAGCACAAACTCCACAACAGGGTGGCTATTACGTGTCAATTGTCAGAATAAAATGGTTAGGAGAGTCAAAAAAAGGTATACGGCAACGGGCAAACAGCAATCATCAGCCGCCGCAAAAGCACACAAAACACCAACACAGCGAAGCGAGCTCCTCGGGCTCTCCCAGGGCACGCACTCTGTGTGCCGCAATGATCGCAGTCTGCGTGTCACACATCTGGCGCGGTGTGTGCAGGCCCAGGTCGCACCGCGCGCCAGACACATGATCGTAACCGCAGGTTGTTTGAAATAAACAAACAGCATTCGCTAGCATTGTGTTTACGACTTTCAATAGCCTCTCGTTAGTCGCGGAGTCGTTCCCGTATACAAACAGACAATATCTCACGCGCGAGACGACCAGGCCCTGCACGACTGCAAGAAGCATCCGCCGCATGTTTGTTGCTTTACATGATATTCATATTCTGCATTATGCAAGCTTTTTGTTATGTAAGGAAATGGAACGCGCAACGGCTCGTTTCAAGCAAGAAAACAAGATCTCCGACATAAACTTTACTATCATGATATGGACTTTGAGAAATGTCCGGAGTCGGAGCTGCAAGCGGAGTCGGAGTCGAGGTCGATTTTTTAAGTCAAAGTGTGAGTCGGAGTCACCAAAACAATCCGTCGACTCTTCGGCCCTGGGTGCGACACTGTCGCCGTTGAGAGAGAGAGAGAGAGAGAGAGAGAGAGAGAGAGAGAGAGAGAGAGAGAGAGAGAGAGAGAGAGAGAGAGAGGGGGAGGGAGGGAGGGAGGGAGGGAGGGAGGGAGGGAGGGAGGGAGGGAGAGAGGGAGAGAGGGAGGGAGAGAGGGAGAGAGGGAGGGAGAGAGAGAGAGAGAGAGGAGAGAGAGAGAGAGAGAGAGAGAGAGAGAGAGAGAGAGAGAGAGAGAGAGAGAGAGAGAGAGAGAGAGAGAGAGAGAGCATACCTAATGTGCGTTAGAATTGGCAGTTTGCTCATATGTAAGTAAGACAATTTATTGAAAAAGTCCGGAATATACCTATTTTTGATCCTGGTTCTTCTTCGGAGGGCGTTTCATTCCACCGAAGAAGAATCAGATTCGAAAAAAAATATTTGGGACTTTTCAATTAATTTTCTGTCGGTATGAGCAAAAGCTTCATTCTAGCACCCACATAAGTAATTATTTTTGTGGAGCTTATGAGGCGTCACAACGCTTTGGAGGTAAATTACGCATATGCAATTGCGAATAAGCATATGATTAATGATATTAGCATAGTCTTACGCATTGTCACAGTGAATGGTAAGATCTTCTTTTAATTTCATCGCGCTGGCTGCACTTCGCCTGATGCTGATTATTCCCCCTGTCGCTGTTACAACCTTATCAAATGTGTCCACGATACAGATATTCTTTAGAGGCGTTTTACTTATCGTTGGAGGCCATAATCGTGCTTTTCGGTAATGTTTCTTAGCAAACTGACTGTTGTACCCTACTTTTCACGTCCAGCTGTGGCCATGCCTCTCTCGAAGGTGACCTTACGTGGGCTCGCGGCCGCCGTCTCGCCGTCTGCGTGCAGTGAAGATCAGTCTCCACACCACTTCAGTCAAGGAACAGTACCCATCCTACAAGAGCATTACGACAACAAATGTCACGAGCCCACCGATTTTGACTGCCCAACAAGCGATGACGCTTCGCAACAGCCGGCGGCGGCGTCCGCAGAACAGCTGGGCGGACTGGTCAGCGACATCGTTCAAAGACTGCTGCCCAACGGGTCGGCGCCTAAGGTTGAGCCAGCACCCCTGGCCAGCGCGCCAGGGTCTGATGACCCGACACCGGCGACCGCCGTCTGCAACGGGAAGCGCTCAGCAGGTAGGCGCGGCCTCCGGGGTCCTTGGAGGTGTGGGAGTTACGAGATATACACATTATTGGCACTGATTCATGCATGATGAACTCATACACTCACGCAATACTTATGCAATACTCCGAGTGACAAACTTCTAGGACATAAACTGTAGGAATGACAGAATCACAAGGTTTTTTAGAGGCATGATCACTTAATTTGACCAGGTGACCTGACCTCATGTGACCTGTGGTAAAAATTTCACACACGACGCGAAATTGATGTAGTAAAAGGTATAGCAAGTTTCGCGTCGCGTCTGGTGGGCAGCTTCCCTAGCGCCAAGTTTGCCCCCCCCCCCCCCCATCTGGGCGAAGATTAGGTAATTTTGTACAGGGAGAGTTAACAATGCAGCAAGTAAAATAGCTCCCGGACGAAATGCCTGAATGAGAAGGTAATGATGTGAGCGTAGGTACGTACTTTTAGCCAAAACGTCGCAAGATGCCGAAGCCTAAATAATGTGAGAATATGCATCGGGGCGATAAAAATAAATGCAAAAATCGATCAGAATGTCATTTACATAAACATCTGCATCTTCAACACAAACACAGTCATCTTAGTGATCTAAGTGTCTGTTCGATCCGATTTGTTTTGATTGTTTTGTTGGGTAAGGCTCTCGGTCTTATGAAACCATTTCAGAGCCGGAAGGATGATAGGAAGTAGGGGAATACATTAGTCTGGGCGGGCACCCTAGTGACTCGTTGGGGCTGAGCCCATCGCGAGGACGGGCTACCCGGCCTCCTGACAGGTGGCGCTACCCGCCTGGGATAGAGCTGCCCGTCCAGCCCGGAGCACGGGGTGGAGGCGTGGAGGAGAAGGATTTGACAGGAGAAGGATTCGACTATCCTGAGGATGGGCACGACGGAACGGAGGTATTTGATCCAATCTGAGCATTACATGTCTTCCTCGTGAAGACGATTTATTGAGTGCGATCATTTCCCCGTCGACCCCCCTCCCCCCCGCGGCTGGGCCTGGGCGCGCCCCTGTGACCGGTCAGTCAGCTGACCGCCCCCGGAGCCCCGCGGGCCGGCCGCCCAGTGCAGTGACCCGCAGTGACCGATCGGGTTGTGGCGGTGAGCGCTCGGTGGCGCGGCGGCGCGGTGCTGGACGACGGTGAAAACAGGCGCCTGGGGCGATTTGATCAAGGCTCTTGACATTTACTCGCACAAACCACGTGACAATCACTGTGTAGAATCGAGAGGGGGAGAACTTCTCCATAGTCACGTGACCAAATATGCCCTCCGGCGCCCTGTCTTCACCAGTGCAGTGTCCGCAGTGCTGCTTTCTTCTCAGTTTCTCATCGTTCTCTTTCTCTCGCTGACAGTAAGGATAGGAATGCCAGTGAAAACGCACAAAAGAACATCGGATTTTACCGAAGTTAAGTAGCAGTACCAATTGAGTGAACACCAAATTCCGGTCTAGTGGCGCATTTCGAAACGGATTCAACTTGTCCGCTTACTACTACTGGTCAATAGCGGCACCGTTCGTCTCTACCATTAATTTGTTCATCGCATTACGCCTCCAACAGAAGCTAAGACGTACATTTTTCTCGCCCTGCAGGTCACCCGATGGCAGTGAGGGCTTCTCCACAGCGCTTCTCTCGAGCTCCCGACAACGAATACCCGCGAGATCCGACCCCAGTGAGCAGGGTCCCGGGATGGACTGTGCGCGCCGCCCTGGCGCTCAAACAGGTGAGCAGATGTCTGTACTTTTTTTCTCTGAATGAGCGGATACGGTTTTGGTGGTGCAACTACAAAAATTACGTGATTCAAATGCATTGGAAACATAATGACTTTAGAGAACTGTTACACTGTCATCGAAGGAATGGCGACACAATGCCTTTCAAAGCGAAGTATCCACAGCATTGACATTAGCAAAAACGAATTAATACTTATCATTTAGCACTTAACTCTTGTGAGCTATCGATGTTTTTTTCCAGGTTTCCTATCTTTCATAGTTTTCGAGATGATCAGGTGTAGCCAAAGAAGCCTCTCCTCACCAATTCACAGTGGTGAATACGGGCCTTACTAACAACTGGATAAAATAAGATGGCTGGCCAGGCGACGTACGATAGCTATGATGCTTTTTTAATATAAACACGGTAATAGATGGACGTGAAACCGTAAAATGGCACTCATAGACAAATCAATAAGTAGATATTTATTCGTTCATATCTAGCATTGATATATAACAAGCTCTGCTAGCGCCATCATACGGCGTCAGCTGGCAAACTATCCAGAAAATAGCACGGCCCGTGAATACGACCGAGATCCCATCCAGGCGCAGCGGATTTCGTAATAATTCGTAACAAGGAGTCGCTATAATACCATTATATACACATCTAAAAACATAAGCAGGGCTGGTAACCCTTTGCTTATTTGAAAGCGGAGTCATGATGCTGATGGACGATTGCCAGGTGCAAATAACTGCGACGAACGCCTTGCGCCGACAGCCATTGTAAATCTAACGGCATACAGATAAACAGCTCGAATAATCGTCCAAGATCTGCAATCAATCACGGGGTTTAGGGGGGACGAGAGGCCGCATAATTGAAAAACACATTAATTAGTGTTGTCAGCACCTCACCAAAGAAATAACTAGAGTAGATACCATATATGAGATTATATTTAATACAACAATGACCAAGACGTTATCCCTTTGAACTGTTCACTTATCATTTCTATTCAGTTTTTTTTTTATGGGCGTCCAGTTCAGAGCATGATGGAGAAAGGCAAGGGAAGGGCACTGAGAGGAAACCTGGGAGCGAAAAAGTATAATAAGCGAAACGTGACGCCATAGACCGGTGCCCAGTGATGTCACCGGCCGGTGTGTGCCCAGTGACGTCACTCACCTGGCTCGCGCTGGCTCGGCCGTGTCCTCTGTAGATACGATAGATGCCCGCTCCTGGCGGTCCGCCTCTCGTCGCTGGTGGCCAGACATGGAGCCAGAGTCTCCGTTTTCATCGTCCATGGGAAACACTCCTGAGAAACACCAGGGACGGGACCGGTCACAGACGGGTAACGAGGGGCAACACGCAGGGTAATGGTCAGGTTACGGACCCGTAAGTCAGGAATCTGTGGCCAGTGTACCCAGCAAAAAAAAAAAATGCTGCCTGTGATTATCTATTGTTCAAGTCACCACCGAATTTCCCCAGCCACACGAAATAAGTTACTAACCGATTATGTGAAAAAAAAATATCGACTTATGTTTCAACATCTGTATTTTGTGTGTGTGTTTTTTAAATTATTTAGTTGAATCACAAGGTCATGATTTCAACATTTGCATTTGTTTTTGATCAAGTTGATGGATACATGCATCCGGGGTAGGTTGATCACGTAGGGACCTACCACATAACATCCACAAATAACGGTGCCCCATATTCGGTTCACCACCTGCACAACATATTAATTATCGATTTATGCACTAAACGCGCTTTTAGCTGCCCCAGCTCCTCATTTAAACCCACAAAGCAGCTGGTCCCAAGACAGCACATCGAGGTCGCTGCCAAACAGTACCGGTAGGGGGCGCAGCAGTCTGGGAGGGCCGAGGCACGGAGGGCTGGCCGGGGGCGCGGGGTACAGGGCAGGGGCAGGGGCGGTGTCCTGCAGGTCACCTCAGGGGATACACAATACACATGCCGGGGGTGTCTCCGTGGCGACGGCAGAGCGCCAGTGGCCGGCTCCACTGACAACAGCGGCAGACAGAGTCGGTGCCCCGCGCCCGCCGCGCGCCGCGCGCCGCAGTAGAGCGGCGCTATCGATTGAGACCGGCCGCGTGGGAGCTGGTCGGGCCGGCACCTCGGGAGCAAACACAACACTGCGAGGACCGTGGAGAGTGGCTGGTGAAAACGAAATTAAAGCGAGTACATCCTACGAAGCATTACGAAGGGCGACAACCATCATTTCAAAAGTAATTGAAACGATCAAGATCTAAGTAATAATTGAAAACCGCCAACTTGCAAGATAAGTGGACATTTAACTGGAAGCTGAAATATTCAAAATCTGTACATGAAATGTCCCCTTTCTAATCGTTTCAGAATTCGCTCACTAAGCTGAACATCTGTCAGCCTGGTTGGCTAACTGCAGATTTGAGCGTTTGTTAGAAAGATAAGACTAAAAATGAGCACAGAAACTACCACCGGCAACATCAGACACCAGGTGAGCTGTGTGATGTGATCGGTCTGAATTTTAACCCATAATCGCACCTCAGAAACGTGCAGTGCTTAATAGTGTCATATGTAAGATGCGAGCTTAAAGTACTGGCTAAGTGTTGTTCGTTTGAAATTTTGGAAAGTGTCTGTACCGTTCGGGGCCATTTTCAGCTGATTATGGCAAAGGCCAGGTCACGGCAAGGTAAAAAAAGACCCCCAGTCATGCGTCAAATATTTACCAAAGCATCTTTATTTAGGTTTAGAGAAGCCTATGTATAGGGAACTCTGTGCTACGACCCAAACCAAAACAAAACAAACGATTCCTGCGTGCCACCGCTGTAATAGACCCGCGGCAATTCACACATCATTGGCAGCCACCGGCGGGGCAGCGACCGTTTTTTGGCGCCTAAAGGAACCCTCGGCCGCTGCCAAATAGCTCGGCCCAACATCGGTAAACAGGGGTCAAACCGGGGTGTTTCTGTGCGCCGGGTGAACTCACTGGCCCACCGATGGCCTCAGTGGGTGCTGGCTCGGTGTGATCGCGCTAACGTCAAGAGTACTGAATTTATGTACATTTCATTGTACAGTCGTGTACAGGTTGATGGTCCCCCACTCTTTATCCACCGGGTTCCTATGGCTCAGCATTGGCAGCAGCCGCCTGGTACCGGTAGGCTGTGCCGCATGACCCGAGAGTGAAGCGGCACAGTCTACCCACGCCGTTTGACATCGGCTCGGGTCGCCGGGTGGAGCGCTTTGTAGACCAGCTGTCGCGTCAGACCAGCGCGGGGGGAGGGGCTCGTCTCGGTGGTTGGCGTGGGCTGGCGAGTGGTGTGGGGCGTGCTGGTGGACCATGGGGGCTGGGCGGGTGTGTACTGTGTGTGGTCACTTGCTGCATTGCACATTTTGCGTCGCTTAACAATTGCATTCTTGTTTTTGCTAAGCACAATGCACGGAAGACCCAGCGAATATAATTTACTTGTGCATTGTGCAAAACGTGATTTGGCACGGTATCGAGGCAACCACAGGTCTTGTGCCACATATATGCATGATATTTAGGCAATACGCTTATGAAAATGGTAGATTGATCGGATTGATCCTGGATGTCAATTCGTATGCTAAATGTCGACATGTATTAAACGAACGAATGAATGAATCAATCAATCAATTGACAATCGACATGTAGATATAAAACCGTATAAATGGCTCGCAACCACTAAAATCAAACCAGATCCTAACTCGGAAAAGTAGCCGGTGCCCCGATGAGGCTCGAACCGGGACTCCACGCTGAAAGTTTTGCCAATGATCCATCATCATTCCACCAAGCTAGAGCGACCGGCACCCGAAACCACAAAAACATTCATTGACTTTGCTGCCGACCTCCGGCCCCGCCGCTCGCCCGGCCAGACTTTGCCCCGGCCGTGGCCACCATCCGGTGTGGCTCAGCGTAGGAGTGCTAGACTGTCAAACTGACCGGTAGTGAGAGGCCCGGTTCGAGACGCTTCGCGTGCTGGATGTTTATTTCTGTGTCCGAGGCTACGCGATTAGTCCACTTTTCAAAAAAAAAATATTTGGTGACAGGTCTGTTTTCTTTCTTTGCTGCAATTCATGAGGAGACCGTATGGACCCTTACCTGTCCTTCCGCACCCCACTTGGGAGATGGATGCTTGAACCCCCCTGGGTTTTGCGAATATCTTTAAAGCGAATTTTTGGAGGGTGGATTACGATCGGTTCTATGCGACAAGTGACCACACACACCCAGCCCCAGGTCCGCTCACTCCCTCCCCACATCACCCCCGCCCCACACCACACTCCAGCCCGCCTCATCCACCGAGCCGAGCCAAATAGACAGACCTGACCCTTACCCCCCCCCCTCCCCCCAGCCGGTGTAACGCAGCGTCCGGTCAAATCGCTCTTCCAGGCGACCCGAGCCGGTGTCATACAGTGTGGGTAGGCTGTGCCGCTTCACTCTCGGGTCATGCGGCACAGCCTACCGGTACCAGGCGGCTGCTGCCAATGCTGAGCCATAGGAACCCGGTGGATAAAGAGTAGGGGACCATCAACCTGTACACGACTGTACACACCCGTTCAGTGGGGTAATAGATGCGAAGTTAATCCTAATTTTAGAACAGCTTGGGGTGTTTTTTCGTGGGTGACGTTAACCAGCATCAACAATTAACAATCAAAAGTTTTTGCGACATAAAAAATAACAGGGGAAAATGCCATCTTTAGAGAAAAAGAACACAAAAACAGGTATCAAGGTATGTGTCAACCCATCGCACTCGACTTGAAACTTAACGGCGTTGTAATATCAACCTGTCAAAAACTTATCCACTACCTATCTTCGCCACAGATCTAGCCCTGGCGAACACACTGAGAAGTCTGCCTACACCTTTCGATGGGGTATTCTTTGTCGCACTGTTATCGACAACAAGAGCAAAATCAAAACAAAAGCCACACCCGCTGACTAGTCGACAATATCCATTTTCACGACGATTTATCCGGCAAATGCACAAAACTTTACCAAATCTATCCGAATTCTTTTACAACAAATACCTTGTCATTCCAAAGTTAAATACGTCAATAAAGTTTAATAATTTGATGGGGAAAGCAAGAAGGTATATAAACATAAATTGCTCACAAATTTTAAAACTAGTAAGAATTAGCTTCGTACCTAATCCGACCAAATCGCACCCAAGGTTCCGTCGTGAAAACGGCTAATAAAGACGCCCAAAGTGACTCCTCTATTCCTACGTCCACAGGTGCTGGCAGCTCTGGTGCTGTCACAGGCGAACGTGGTGTTCGGCGTCATGGTGGCGTACGGCAGTCTGTTCGTCAGCAGCTCCGACACGGGCGAGTACCGTCACTGGCGGACGCAGGACGTCACCTGGGTGCTCTCGGCGCCGTCCGTCGGCAGCGCGGCCGGTGAGTGGACGGTCGGGAGGCGGGGTGTAGACTGCAGACGAGACGAGAAATGGGGATCGATAGCTAGGGGTAACATTTAGAAAAAGGTCTGGTTGGACGGGCGAGGAGCGATTAGAACAGAAGCTATCTGCTGTAAAGATACAACGGTGTGCATTCGTAGTGTGGAAAGCATTGTTCGATTAGCATCACTCTATCAGTATCACTCAAGAAAATCAATTCAAAGTCTGGTAATCACAATGCTCTAGAATAAAAACTACGCCGAAGGCCCGAATATAGGGTCTGAAAGGCATTAACACTAGGTGGTCGAACCATGGTGTTTGTCTGGCATGAGAATATCTCTAATGACCTGGGTACAGCGTTCATCAGTTTGTGTACGATTGAGCTCGATATAAGCTAGCACATCACTGACCCAATGACTCAGCAGTCGGCATATTGGATCACGTCCCATGACCCCATCTATGTGAGGTACTGGTGCTGCCCCCTACACCACTCTAACGGCGCTCGACACGCCATCTGCCGCCGCGTCCCCAGGCTGTCTGCTGGCGGCGCCGCTGACGAACCGGTTCGGCGCATTGTGGGTCATCGTGGGCAGCAGCGCTCTCAGCCTGGCCTCCTGGGGCGCACTCTGTTTCGGTAACACCGTCACCGTGCTGGTGATCGGACGCATCTTCTCCGGAATATTTGTGGGTCTCAACATCGGCAACAGCCGCCTCTACATCGCCGAGGTAAGGAGAATGTCTGTCGGAAGAGGAATCAGACCGGGATAAGCGCCTGGCGGCTGCTCAATTCAGACGAGTTTGGATACGATGCTTTAAATGAAACAGACGCTGATGGTTATATACTGCTTTCGTTTTTGTCTTTTTTTTTTGCATATTAAAAGCAAACTTTCTTTAAAAAAAAAACATGCAAGATCAGGTGTGCTCCAGAAAGACACCTAAATATTTCATAACCCAAACCAGATGCATCATGTGAGCTGAATCACGACCCCCAAACCAGATGCCCGCCTCACTCAGTCAGTCCGCCGTTACCAGTGACCGCTCTGACCTCCCCTCCGCTCGGCAGGTGTGCTCTGAGCGCCTGCGCGGCGTGCTCTGCCACCTGCCAGCCGTCTCCATCTCGGCCTCGTTCCTGGGCTGTCTGTGCCTGGCCGGCGTCGTGCCCTGGCACTGGGCGGTGCTCGGCTGCGGCTGCGTGCCCACCGTCATCCACCTCACCGGCGCTCTGCTGCTGCCGCAGTCGGCCCGCTGGCTGCTGGCCTCTGGCGGCAGCAAGGCTGAAGCCGAGCGCTCCATCGCCTTCTACCGCGGTCACGACCACGACATCGCCGCGGAGGTGCGCGCTATCGAGAAGGCGCTGGGCGGCGCGGCGCACGCGACAACCCTGGCACACCAGGCGCGCCGGCTGGCCACCGAGTGGGACTGCGCCAAACCGGTGCTGCTGCTCTGCGGACAGTTTGTGTTCGACGCCTTCTGCGGCGGCATGATCATGACCCAGTTCGCGCCGATGATCTTCCGTCGCGCCGCGCCGCAGCTGGACCCCAACACGTGCACTATCTACCTGGCAGCCGCGCAGCTGGCGGCGCTCTGCGCCAGCGGCCTGCTGGTGCGCCGCGTCGGCCGGCGCGTGGTGCTGATGGCCGCTGGCGCCGGCGGCGCGGCCGGCTACGTCCTGGTGGCCGCCTCCCTGCTCATCCCGTCGCTGGGCGCATACAACTGGGTGCCTCTGGTGGGCGTGCTGGCGGCCAACGCGTGCGCCCAGGCGGGCATCACGCCCGTCTCGTTCCTGTACCTCTCCGAGCTGATCCCGGGCGGCGTGCGGCCGCTGCTGGGCAACTGTTTCACCATCTACATCAGCGCAATGAACATGGCGTCCGTGCACCTGTTCCCGCTCGCCACCGCGGCGCTGGGCACCCACGGCGTGTTCCTGGCCGTGGCCGGTCTGTGCGCCGCCCAGCTGCTCTACGCCCTGCTGCTGCTGCCGGAGACCAAGGATCTGACGCTGGAGGAGGTGCACAACCGACACTTCTCCAGCCGGCGACGCTGGGGCCGCAAACCAGACACGGAGGCCCTACAGGATAAGAGAATGACAGATTGTCTTAGCATCTCTAGTGCCGACGAACTGGTGGCCTGATAGCTCAACTAGTAGCCTGAGAGCTCCAACAAGGCTGTTGTCAAGTGGACCAGCACAGAGCAACACTTATCTGTCAGAGAAGAAACTCATAAAATGGAGCTCATGAACTAGTACAAGCCAGGTAACAAATCACGATCTGCAAGCCATGCAATCAAAACGCACCAATCGACACTTATTACGGTCTTCGGAAATGCAGTGAAATTAATATCGACATACGCATCCTTGTCAAACAAAGGAGAGGAACGACGAAAAATAAAAGCTTAAGTCCAACAACGCAATTGGTGCAGAACGTGTAACAAACAACGAGCGCCATAACATTTTATACTGTGTGCATTTGCAACATGTATATCGTAATCGGCTGTGCCGTCATATATGTGCTTAACAAATGTTCACTGCCTGGCATCGAATCTGAGAAAATATAATCCAATAGCTAAACGTGCAAACGTTTTTTCCTCCGACCAATACAGTGTTCCATTTCGTCGCTTATATCAAACAACGAACGTCTCGGATCTGCCACATTTATCATAAAGATAGATAGGTCCCAAGTGTAGAGACATTGCGCATGAATTAACCCTCGCCAGGCTAGGGCCTTTTTCATAACGCGGACGGCCAGGGGGGGGGGGGTACCACCCCCCGGAGATTAGCTCCTATGGCACTTAGAAACGCCCAATTTACAGCGTAGGTGAGCCCATAGGATATCTCGCCGCTGTGACAATTTGGTTGCTCTAGGTCAATATCTAGGGGGGTTTTGGGGGGGGGGTAAAAATGTAAAAATTTCGCTAAAACAGGCCAGAGGTTATTCGCTTATAACTGTTGATCTAATCAAGATAGAGCAAAAATAAAAGCACGAGTGAACTCAGCACGTCCGTTCGCATCGAATGGTTTCCTTTTTTACAAGCTAAGTGAATTTAAAATTTTCCTAATTTTTAAGTGAAGTTAAATCAATTAAGTTAAAGTTTAAAAAAAAATTGCAGTATATCGCATATCATTCGATTCGGCTGATCACAAGGAACACAATGACACTATCTTTGAAGCTCTAGCCCCATTGTGTGTAGAGTTATTAGCAAAAACGTACTTTGACCTCATTTGACATCAGATGTCCGGACTTAAGTGCTTTTTTTCAGCAAGCAAACACTGAATTCATCTTAAATGGAGCTAAAAAACATAAACGTTAAAATGGAGCATATCTTTGCAATTTGAGCTATTAAGACAAATTTTCGTGACCGGCTCTAGATGACCTCATGTCACCCGAACTTGAAAAACGTGGATGTAGTTTATACAACTCGGTGGGCTTAGCATATCCTGCCAGTTCGAATCAAATCGATAAACAACTCTAGATTTCATTGACAAAATAGCGCATTTTCAGTGCCATTTTGACCATGTACCGGTTTTTGGGACCTTGTCACCTGACCTGAGGTCACTGGAACACAAACTCCTAGGACACGTGTCAAATGGCTGCCCTAAGTTGTGTCTGTAATTTGGTGGCCCTAAGTCTTACGGTTCTTAGTTCTTACGCTATTAACGATAAACTTAGCGATTCCGTTGCCGCTATTATAGTCCAATTTTACCCTGACATTGTACCGGTTTTGGTGACCTAGTGACCTGACCTGAAAAGACAGAGACCTGAAATTTTCAGGGAAGGTGCCAAAAGGTTGCCCCAGAGAGTAGGGGAGAGTGAGGAAAGATGCCCAGGGTTTTGCTATGTCATATATTATTCGAAAATGACGATGGGAAACCAAAAACTTGGAGGTTCAACGGAAGCCGACATATTTTTTCTCCAAAAATATCACACTTTCGTGCCTGAAATATGATAACTTTTTTTTGCTATTAAGCATTTTCCTGAAAAAGTGAAAGGGGGCATCTTACCCCACATGGTGGGAAAGACGCCCCCTGGCGTTGGGGAAGATGCCCCCTGCACTATAAGTGACATAAATGGGCACGTGAATCGCCTGAACGAATCAGTAGTCCCTTCGAGCCTGCAGTAGACACCAAACGTCATCATAAGGGCCCTCAACAGTAGTCGTAAGGGGCTTCAGAGGTCATCGTTAGGGCCATCATAGTCCAGCGCGGCCAAAAAAGCCTCCGTGGTGGCGTTCGGAGACCACTGTGGGGCTCTTATAGGTCTTCATGATGCTTGAGGGCCCTCGAGCCCATCGTGGGGACCTCAGATGCCAGCGCGGCCCGTGGATTCAACGTGGGAGCCCTCAAAGGATGTCGTGAGGGGCCCTGGAGCCAATAATGTGGCCCACAGAGGTCGTCGTGAGGGCTCTCAGAGTCAGATGCCGCCCCAAAAAGTCGCTGTGTGGGCCGAGAGACCGGCATGGGGAGCACCCGGCCGTACTGGACTCTCAATAGTCCCAGATCGGCTTTTGTCTACATCACAAGTACCTATGTAATAAATGATTTGACGGGCTGTTTGAAGGACAGCCTGCGGATTTATGGGGGCGTCTTTCCCCATCAGGACAGGGGGCATCTTACCCCAAGGTACCGAAGTAACATTAAATCAGTACAATTTGTTAGCCATAAAACTACACCCTGAAACAAACTGTTTGGGACACAGTACACGCATGCTAATGTATCACGACTATAGCAAGGAACGCAAAAATTATCTAGCTTCTTTGATATTTACAATGTTTTGACACCAAAATATTTTTTGAAAGCAGCAATCATAGATAACATGAATCTGGATTGGACACGAAATCTGTCTGATGCAGAATGGGGCCGAAAATTGGATACGTAAATCTGACGCTAAAACTTGAATTTCACACGCTTAAATACGTATCCAAGATTGACAACATCTCGTTAAACATATTTTTTATTACTTTATACTCATTTTGTTTCATGAAGGTATGAAGAAAATGTTGTGATTTGATGCATGCCTTGATCTTTTTCATAGACAATGAGGTTTTGCAGCAAGTGCTACAAACATTAAAAAGACGACATATAGGGCATCATGAGTATGTATTCACGGCAGAGAATAGGTACAAATCGGAGGCACTGGTATTTTCGCTGTCTGGGCCCATGGGACATCGGAGATAAGATACTAACGCTCAGAATCGCTATGAACATGGAATAACTGAATACATGTTTCTATGCACATATGGGACGGGATTGCTGCCGGATGCTGTTCTGTCGGTGCTTGAAGTAGAAGTAGATTCATGTTATCTATGCAGCAATTAAAAAACATGCAATCATCAGCCAGCCGTTGCCCAACTGAGCTTCGCAAATTTTTGTGCAGTTAACAAGGCAGGCTTCCGCTTTACGCTAAGAACATTAATTTCCAGGCTCGATTCTTTGTTTCGCCGCTAGATGGGGTGGGGCGTCTTTCCCACCCTGGGCATCTTACCCCACTCTCCCCTATGCCAAAGTTGGCGGCGCTACGCGCCGCCGTTTTTACGCTAATGCGAAAAACCTCGGCGTTGCATCAAATACCCCCTGGCCTGGCGAGGGTTAACGCGCGTGTGTCTACGCCCTTCAACAGAACGCCGTTGGCTATGGGATTGTGGAGGGGGTACTTTTACACTCTCCTCCACGATCAACTAGAAAAAGTTAAGCATCTTGGGAAAAGTCCGATAAAATAGCGTTGTAAAACCTCATCGCCACGCATATGAAGCATCCCAGTAAGGTGAATGCTGAGCGAGACCAAGGTCGGGCCTTAAATCAAAATTGAGCATTTAATGCTCTTGCGAGAGTAGTCGAGCCTAGCGAGATTGTTTCGGGACCAACTTTGAACAGTTTGCCAATTGGCTGATAAAGACATTGCGTAATTCTCTTACGCCAACCCAGTACTCCCCAAGACCAACGTCAGGTAGAATGGTAGAACGACTGACTAGGTATCTTCTCGTCCCCTGTTTGCACATTGATCGTTGATAGCATCGCATTTTCTTTTGGATAGCATGTCTAAAGTACGATGGCATGTTTAAAACAAAATGATAACTCCTCACTACACCCCAATATACGCGGAAACGAAAGGAAACTGACTGAATGCGCCCTCTAAATGATCAATCAATCAATCAATCAATCGATCAATTAATCAATTAGCCAATAAATCGTGTAATGTTGAAGTGCTGTAAGGACGCAAATCCCGAAAAGCCACCCAGTAGACGGATTTTAGACCAATACAAACATATATACATACTCGTAAGTCGTACATACAATCATTCAAGTATCGCCCATGGGTGGATGAGGTGAAAAGTACGGTAATCTGTGTGTCGACGAGCTGTCGGTAGGTGCAGGAATCGTTCACATAGATGTCGCCACCATCACGGTGAAATCTCCGCCTGACCAACAACCAACTGACGAGGGCGACAGGGCCCTGCCAGAGTGGACGTAGTCCATACAACCTAGTGGCAATGGGAGACCCGTACCTGTAGATGTCGCCACCACAGCGACCAAAGAGGTATCCAAGCCTGAATTGTCTAAAATAAAACAATAGTCATTTCTGCATTAACAGCTGTCAATTTTAGAGGTAGAGCATCAACCGAGCTTTAGGGTGTACGACTCGAGAGTCAAACTACGTTTATCGCAAAGCTAAAAACGATGCATGAGTAAATTGCGAACCATGGTCAATGACCGTTCACACAGCGAGCAGTCATAGCGGCCCACAGGGAGTGCGTTTATAATCTGACTTACGTCTTACCTACATACATAACAAAACAAAAACGTTACTTACACGGGGAGTAACCGGTAACGTTTTTCCTATAAGAACTCCGAAAAACAATAAAAAATGATGATCTTCCTGAAAGTCGCACTTTAAACAGGTCACTAAAGAAGCTGTCCAAAGATCAACTGTACCTAGGTATGTCCTGTGCAAAGTTATGAAGAGAGATTAAAACGGCGAAACTATAAAACCAGTAAAAAAGTGGGCAAAGGACCGCAACGCAGACCTAAAAAGAAAAACATTACGGTTTGGTAAGCGATCAACCAAGGAGCTTGGATTCACCAATGATCTTGTAGCAGTGAACATTACGAAAAAAATTGATGCGCACTATTTAAACGCTGTTTCGAACCAAAAACACCAGTAGAAAACAGCCTGTTTTGGCGTATCTACCATCGGCGACCAACACAAGGACGTCTCAGCATAGCTCCAAGATCCCTTTGGGTGAACTCCCACTGCCTTAAATCAGTCAGATATAATACCTAAAAAAGCTTTAAAAAGCGTTAATGACGGCAGCTGTGCAACGGCTTTGCAGCCACCGCTACACGTTTTTCTTTTCTTTTTTGTACGTACATATGTCAAAAAAGTGTCGACCTACATATGGTCCCGATGAAGATCTTGACAAAATGAAGGAACTCGATCTATGATTCAATTGGATCCAAGAGAATGTTTCTTGGGACGAATCCATATTCACATATCCACGCACAATGCACATGTCTGTTGCTCACTATACATGCAGCGTCTATGAAAACAAGACAGTCGCCCGAAAACCCCTGCCGCCCAATATCTTAACTCATCCCGAAACTTTCCACGCAGCTCCTGGCATGCATCCGCGACCGATTCCTGTCACGTTTCATGCAACTTGAGCTCACACCGGCCTCAGGGGCACCTTTAGAGGCGACGTGTCAGCGAGGCCAGGCGTGCAGCAGAATCTAGCAGTAAGTGGCGTGACCAGTCCCCGTTATTGATCCTACGCGGTGCGTTACGTCAGATAGACATAGCTGAACGGGATGCAGGTATGCTGTGGATCCACAACGGCAAGGAGTGCTAGTCGGGGCGTGCGCAGGGGCCTCTGCAATATAAATAAGATGTCAGGAGAAAATTAGAAAGCTTCATTACAAATGCGTAGATAAAAGTCAGCAAGATTACCTTACTATCAAAGTTGGAGCTTTGGGAATTTTTATGTTTCGGTAAAAGTTCAAATTGGAGTTCGGCTGAAATCAGACATGTAAATGTTGCATGTTAAAGTTATATGTCACAAATGTAACAAACAAAGTTGCATCTGAAAGTAACATGTTTGGGCGACAAAAAAAACATTTTATCTGTGAAAAAGATTAAGTGTATGCAAAGTAGTTACTGGTTTAAGCAAACACAACAATCACCACGTCCGCACCGCATTCTTCAAATAATTATGGTTATTATATTATCATCTCCAGAAAACTGACACTACATAGCTACACCATGTCATGAGGTCTTCCCAGAACTTTCAAAAATTAAGGCTGTTGCCTATGTAAACCAAAGCGGTGCACGAACCCCAATTGGTCCATGAGAGGGCTGGAACATGTCGCCTCCTGTTGATGCTCACTTCGTTACCTCAGCACTCTGCAGCCAGTTTCCGTACAAATGGGTAAACAAAATCCGCCGGCTATACTGAGCCTGGGTTAGAATGCCAGCCCTAACTAAGGTTCCAGTATATGATGTTGTTTTCAAGCATCGCATACTATATGCATCTTAAAATCAATGCGAAGTTCTTTAGATGTAAAAATTGCAGAGCGCGATTCCCTGACAGGAGCAAAGAAAGCTAAGAAGTGCTCCATGAGCAAAAACACCAAACACCAAATGAAAGGTCTCAGCGAGGCGATTCTAAAGCATCTAAAATTTTCACCTCGGGTTAATTTACAGGGTCTGAGATCAAAGACAAAATCGGTGCATGCGATCGAGCTGTGTGTTCCAGAGAACGGCAAGATGCGTAAAATCGAGCAAATCTGGATGGAAACAACAGAAGTCATTCTGAGAAAGACGATGACAAGATCAAAATCAAAGGTCAAGCTCATCCTCAATAGTCAATAGTGACCTCGAGCCTTGCACTTATTGAGTCTTATACATCGAATTCGAGTGCTAATTTGAATTATCTTTAAGCTTATCAGGCCCTACATGTGGTTCATGTAACGGTGCAAGGTCATGCAACAGTATCCTTGCTGGAGGCTATTCCACCAATTCAAATAAGCCATAATCCGGTCATTTTGTGCAGTATCCTGAGGCTCTCAACGCTTAAGGCTGAAACAGACTCTTTCCGCGTTCAGGAAATTGCATGCGAGAGCCTATTCAAATGCATTATAATTTTCCCGCATCAATCGCATCCGGGAGGTGCGTGCGATTGATGCGAGCGTGCTTCCATGTATTTGAATAGGCTCTCGCATGCGATTTCCTGACTGCGGAAAGAGTCTGTTTCAGGCGTTAAAGCAAAGTGCATGCAGATTCCTGATCTGCGCCCACGAATACATCATATAGAACCTTTTTTGTCCAGGTCACCCGAAGTAGTCCAAGGACATTCGAGATCACAAGAGGTCAACATAAAACTATGTCGTCTCCCCAAAAATGTGCACATCTCGACGCGTCTTGACATGAAAAATGCGTAGGTGCCACTGTCTGAGCTATAGGAACTTTTATTTTTGTTGAAGTATTTTGCGAAAAAAAAAACTGAAAGCCAGGATAGGGGTTGACCTCTGAGGTCATCTGTTGATCTGAGAGCAGAACAATGGGTACCGTTGAATTCGTATCATGGTGTGCAGCATGTTTAATTTCAGATTTTCTACTTTTTCATTTCTTTTACGGATTAGGCGCTAGCATGGGTGTCAGGACTTCATGCAAACTTAGGCAGTAGGCACATTGATACCTCTTTTTGGGTCTCCTGACCTGACCTGACCTGATGTAGAGCTGAAACTTTTAGAACTGATAGACCACGATTATCTTTATCACAGATATCCCGGTTTTGATGTGGAATAAAACGCCCAGTCGGTGACAGTATTTGAGTTTAAGATATTGACTTGACCTGTTGAGCTTACCTCAGGTCACCAAAATTATTTTGAAGTTTTTTTACAAATCAGATGCTACAGAGCTATGTTCGCACCTAATTTGACAATCTCTAAAACTTTATTTTGGCAGCTGTTTGAAGATTATGTTTGTGACGTCGAAATTTGGCTGGCAAGGGTCTAGAAATCTCGACTCCGTGACATCATCGGGGGACTGGGTCCAATATTTTTCCCAAGCAGAAGGCAAATTGATTAGGGAAAAAATATCGAAAGTTTTGCACTCCTGCCTCTAAACTTTCGGGAAGTATCGCAAATATTCGTCAGGGAGGGGGCAAAAAAACCTGGGCTTCCGTTTTTCCTGGCCAGGGATAACAAGTCCCGTGTTTTTCACCCGACAGAGGCTAGCAGCTCTGTCGAACAAAGCACACAAGGAGGGAGAGGGAGCAGCGGTGTGACGGAGGGGACAGGGAGGCAGGGGGGGGGGGGCGGGGGCGTTCGCTCCCGTTGGTCGATTCTGAAGCCGTCGGCGTCTCGTAAAGGGGGCGGCGGGGTGCGGCCGGAGGCAGTCGCGAGCCACTGCTGGTCCGAAAGGGCCGCCACATCAGGAGCACAGGCGACGATAAGACGGTTCGGTGTCACTCAAACGGACACCCGCAGCACCACGGGAGGTCAGCAGACCTCGAGATATCGGCCGAGGCGTCAGGAATCCGACGGAACAGACTCAGCTGAGACATAATTATAACCGTGAGACAGCCTCAGCAGTCTTCAAAAAACCCGGACTCAGCTGAGGCATCAGACAGACGGAGGTGCATATCAGCCCCGTGAGTCGAGCCCACCCCGGCCGCTCAGCCTCAGCTTCGAGTCGCCTTGAATCAAGTGAGACAGATTCTCGACCCAACAACTAAGAAAAATCTCAGGCTTGGAGCCAGTTTGAACTCAACAAGAACGCATTTCCGAGCTCAGATAAACCTTCAGTCAACAGAGACGAGCCAGTTTTGAAATCACTCCGCCCCTGTGACTGGGGAGACAACTCCTCAGCCCAGTGGAACGAACAAGACACCGGAAGTCCTCCAACGCCTTCAGTTCAAGTCGGACTGACAAAATCACGATCTGACTAGTGCAGCATAAAGGAAATAGCCAGCCACCCGATCTTCCACGAGGTTCAGCAGACGAAGCTGGCGATACGGTGGTAGCAGCTCCAACTGAAGAAGACACAGGGGTCCAGCCATGAGTCGAGCCCTGCTGGGACAGGTGAGGTGCCGATACTTGTAAAGTGTTTGATTGCACGATAAATTGAAAGCTGTTTGTACAAATGAACGTCTGCATTAGGCATCACGTTTCCATACTCGTGCTAAAAACTTAAGATTGCGCATTCTAGCTTGACCCAGTTGGCCATTCCGCGACTTAAATGTTCCATCCTAAAAGAGACAAAGCTGAAACAACAAAAGAAGCTTAAACGGAAGTTAATTGCCAAAAACGACCCTTTTGCAGATTGTGCTATGGGTTACTCTAGCGCCCATGATTAACAGCCACCATTTATCAGTATCATGATCTAGCGAGGTCTTTATTTTTCTCACGTATTCCTAAATTAAACTCAAACGTAATGAAGGAGGTAGGTACACGCATTGAAGCTGCCACCGGTCGACGAGTAGAAAATCGAGGCACTGAGAGGGTGATGCAAATGCTTCCGCTCCTTGCCAGCGCCGTTGGGCGACCGTCTTGGCAGAGGCGACAGGAGCAGTTTTTGCCGGCAGTTTTTGCCGGCAGGATCGCGTCAGTTCTGCCACAGGCACAAAGTCAGATGCTGCTGTGTGCCACTGACCCATAACTGCACGCTCTAAATTCCTGGGTACACATGCACTTGGAGAATGGCAGCACATCAGCTTATGTTTAGAGTGTAGTGATTGGGAAACTGATATTAGTGATTTAGGGATAAGATCGACCTCTCCCCATTCCACCCCCACCCACAAACTTATAAATACCGAAACGTTCAAAACATTTAAAAAGGACAAGAAGTTATCCTTGTCTCTTTTTATATAAGACCTGAAGACTAGTGATATCAGTTACGGAAAATCGTGATACCGATACCAAACCAAATACCAACAATAACCACGGGGAAATACCGAAACCAAACCAACTCGGGAAAATCAGGTAAATACCAATTTTTTACCAAACCCACTGCCTCTTTTGCATCAGCGACGATTCAAAATACCAACAAAATACCAAAATACACTAGCCTTAAAATACCAAATGCCAAGTTGGTATCGGTTTGGTATCGGTATACCAAAAAGTAGGTATCTGATTGACATCTCTACTGGAGACCACAATAAGGACCTGATAACAAAACAGCACTGTGCCTGCGATCATTGCTAAACAAGGAAAAATCAATGAAAATATGCAGAAATGGCCACCACTGGCCGTTCTTTTCGCCTGACGCCCCTCTCCGTTTCGCCGCAGGTGGCGGCCGCGGTGGTGATGTCGATGACACCGTTCATCTACGGCACGACGTTGAGTTTCGGCGGCCTGCTACTGGCCGAGTCGCAGCTGGCTGAGAGGGCCCGACTCACTATCGGAGATGCAGTCATGATCGCCGCCGCATCAAACTTCGGACGCATGGCCGGTGAGTGACGGCAGACAGCTGATGCTCGGCGCAAAAGGCGAGGGTTCGAGCCTCAGCACGGACGGATAGGACTAGCTTTGTAAGAAAAAGGAAGTGAACTCAGTCAATTCGTAGCTTGAGTAGTCATCTCAACTGTTATGTCAAGTCCTATTTTCAAGTTTCCTTTTTTTATTAGACAAGCAAGCTCAAGCTTGGTATCCCCAATCACAGCTCAACTAAGAATAAACCCGTCTAACCGAAATCGTCCCCGTTTCCGTCCACACCCCCAGCGTGCCTGCTCTCCGCCCAGCTGACCGACCGCCTGGGCGTGCTGCGGGTCATCCAGCTCGGCACGCCCATCAACCTGCTCGCCTGGCCTCTGATGACCCTCACGAGCGGCCGGGGCACGGTGCTCGCCGGTTCGGTGCTGGCTGGTTCCGTGGTGGGCCTCACGGGCCTCACTGGAAGGCTGTACATCGCAGAGGTAGGGACAGGCTCGACACGGTGCACACTGGTCGGAAACGCCCTCACGAGAGGCCACGGGCGATTCCGGAGTTTCGGATTATTTTTCATATAGATCGATTTGAAATTGATCAAATTATTATAATTAGGCCAAAAAAACTAATTCGGGTGACCAAAAATAACTGTAATCAGCCCCCGAAGATGGGGTATCCCAGAACTCGGAAACTGACGCGGAGCAAGAGGTTTCTTGAGCCGGATATTCAGAGTCTTATTGCTGATAGACACCAAATTGAAATCCCACATATTATGCATCAAAATGTTTGTTATGAAGTTGCCGACTGGTCAGTGCAAATTTTTTGGTATACTTTTTTCCCAACTAAGATCTACTGTAGCTTTTTTATGAGGGCTCTCCTAGAGTGATTCTGGAATATAACTGCAAAGTTTAGGTAAGGAAACAACAGGTAGTCCCATCTAGTCCCACTCTGATTTTTTGTGAGATGAAACAGGATTTAAATTTACACCAGGGCAACATAAAAGCTAACTGCGCATATTTGCGCAAAATTTGCAGGAGCCGCTATTCCTACCCAACTACCGCCCGCCCCGCCCCAGTTTCGGCTCGGCCGCCGCGCCCGGCTTACGCTGACCTGTGTGGCCTGCACGCATCCATGCGTAGTTGACTGGTCATTAAAAACAGACGCGCTTGAGTTTATGAATTTTGTGGAAAGCGCATACAATATGGTTTTATTATTGCATTTATGTATGTATTGACATCAAAAGCCTTCCACATATTGCGTGGCGATTACGGCTTGCATTTAGAGAGCCTTGCTATTAGTAACCATCACTCGGCTGAAGAAAGTGGAAATTGAGACCTTCGTGAATATAAGACGCTGCGAATATAGGACACCTGTCACTGGCGTCAGGTTACCTTGGGCCGTCTTTTTACATTAGATCACAATTCCGGTATTAAGCCCTGGCCGGACCGATTGGTTTTCTATATTGACCGGGGAGGGTTGATACAACTCCCTCGCCGTTTTGCCTCTAATTGAGCTAGAGCCTCGCGGAAAAAACGAGCTTGTGTGCCGTTATAAGACACAGCAAGTACTACCCGATTTAAGGTCTTAGGTCAGCCAGTGACCTCTTAGGTCAGGTAAGTGCCACAAGGCACGGGCTCGGTTTTTGGTTAATTACTTTGCCAAAAATGGTCGCACTGCCGCGATTTTGGCATCACCGTGCTTGTCTAGCTCAGGAGCGTCGAATGCTATACTTGGTGTTCGGGTGAAGTCAACTGAAGGCGTTAACCTCGGGTCAAGGTCAGGTCGGAGCCCCTCAGGTCACGAAAATGGTTGAAGGAGGACATATCGCATATCACTCGATTCGGCAGGTCTTCCCGAGTCCAATGGTGGCTTTCCCGACTCTCTAGCTCCATCTGATCAGGAGTTATTGACGAAAAACTTATATGGCCTTAGTGACGTCATAAATGACGTCACGCAAAGTCAACAATGCTAAAGTGAAGCACCGGACCCTGCAAGGAGTGCATGAAACCATTCCTGGTGCCCGAATAGCAGCTTCCAATTTCCCTTGTTCACTTAAAGTGGTGCTAGATCCTGTATTATACTCAATTATGACGTCATAACTTAACAGATTCACGTCATATATTTAGTGCTTGACATCCAAATGATAGCTTACATATGACAGAGAAGGTATGCAAAGTTTTATGAAGTTTGCTTCACTAGTTGTGGAATAACAAGCAAAAAACTTTTGCGGAAAGGCCGCTGGCCTCTCGCTGGAGCGTTTCCGACCAGTGTGCGGTGTGGCGGAGGAGGTTTCTTCGCGGGGAGTAGAGGAGGTGAAAGGATTGGGAGGGATACAGATCATTGAGCTCTGCCGTTGAGCTTCATGTGTTCCAATCTTTCCGCCACCAAATGACTTCTTAAGCACTTGCTTGGCCCCAATCTGCAAATATCACACCAACGTGAGCGTTGTCGGCGTGTGTAAAAACAATCAACCAATTAACCACCCGCAAACTTGATAAGCTATAAACCGCCTTTGAGCTACCTATAATGCATCACCCTACAGGTGACGACGAGCCGGTACCGTCCTGTGCTCTGCTACCTGCCGGGGGTGGCGCTCGGCCTCGGACTGCTGCTTAGTTTCTCCCTGAGCGCCCTGATACCGTGGCGGTACGCGGTCATCGTCTGCGGCATCGTGCCGTCCGTGGTGCAGGTCGTCGGCACGCTGCTGCTGCCCAACTCACCCAGGTGAGAACGGCGTCATGGACAGGACTGCGGTTGTAAGTCAGTGGTGCTTCTGCTCTAGTAGCTAGGACCATTGAACAGGATAGATCCAGTTGCTTTCGTAGAGTTCAAGTGAGCCAAGTACGTCAAGTCCTTCTTTTATTCTTGCTCTTTATCGACCCTCCCCGATGAAAAAATTAAAGTCGGAAAAGTTGAGGCAAGTGTCTAACCTACGCTCTTAAACTCTCTACCAGGTGGCTCATGAACCGAGGTTTCGCTGACGAGGAGGTGCGAAAGTCGATAGTGTTTTACCGAGGGCGAACAACGGACATCGGTAACGAGCTGAAGGAGATCCGTCAGTCGCTGCAGGGCCGGCACAACCTCAACATCGCCAGACAGGTCAGAACGCAACCAAAGAACGTGACGAGACTTGACGTCTTGATTCTCACCAAATACCACTTGTCCTCTGGCAATGATGACCGCACTTGGATTTGATTATAGCTGATAACTGCGTTATCGAGCGTTATGAAACCTCCAGGGGTGTTGTCAGAACACCGAAGCATTGCAGTTGTTTCCAAAGTCTTGATTCTCCATGTGACAAAATTTTATAAGTTGGGCTTCTATACAACTACCTACAAGTTTTTACCAGCATAGCCTGGGAGAACACTCTCCGCCCCTCCCCCCTTCCAGTTTCCCCGCTCTAACCTCCACCCTTACCCGCAGATCCACCTCATCTTCACCGACTGGGACGTGGGCAAGCCCTGCCTGCTGATGTTCATCCAGTTTACGTTCGAGACCTTCTGCGGCGGCGTGGTGCTCACGCAGTTCGCGCAGAGCGTGTTCCAGCAGGCCGTCCAGTCGCTGTCACCAATCAACTGCACACAGATCCTGGCCGCACTCCAGGTGGGAGCCAACTCCAACCGAAACAGCAGCTCCTCGACTTACGCACATAGTTACGTGCAGCTATCGTTACGTTACGGAATGTGTAGCTCCTGATTTACATCAAATCTTGATCAATCTGCAGTCAAGGATAGTCATAGAAATCCTGTTTTCACGCTCGGAAAACATGTCGCCGGAATTGGTCAAGATCGTCAGCATAAAATATTGCACTATTCATGACTCATGAGAAGTCGTTTCCGATGATGAGGTATGACCAGCGCATCAAAGTTTTCACCCTTCACCTAACCTTGGCCGTTGACGTTACTTGTGAAATACATTGGCAAAAAATGGTGCTCCAAATATCCGTCTTGTTGAAAGCTTTCGACTGCCGCTTTACCAGTGTCAAGGTAGACGGGGGCATAATCTCTCCCTCCAGGGCGCGTCCGGCTCCATCGAGACGCGGGTTTGAGGGCACACGTGTCTTTTTTCTTCTCCTTCTTCTAAGGCTTATGATTGTGGCCATCTCATGCAGCTGTCCCCCTGTAGAACACCCAGTTACAGCTCTCACACGCTGATGTTCCTCCGTCGCCTTCAGATGGCGGCAATAGCCGGTTCCGGCTATCTCCTGCAGCTGTTCGGTAGAAAGACGATCCTAATTGGCGCAGCCGTGCTCACCTGTTCTGCACAGCTAGTGGTAGCCGCATTTTTCCAATTCGAGGTAAGACATGTTCTCCAATAAAGGCTAAATCAGACTCGTTGTGACAAACGTACTTAATTACTCAGTGTTGATACCCATGCTTGAAACATACACAGCATGTCTACTGTCAATTTTTTCGCCCTATCAGAAAATCAGTTCCGCACATTACCGATGTGTATTGTTTATTATTCCTATAACAAAACATCGAAAGCGAAGGCCCAGCTACGTCAAAATGCAGCATGCAGCATGGACGCCTTCCCGGCTCAGCGTTCTGCTCGCGTTGACTGTCGTTTCTCTGCCCTCCGGCAGGACACTCTGGGCTCCCAGCAGTGGCTGGTGGTGGTCGGTATCGTGGTGGCCAATGCCGCCAGTAACGGAGGCATCTCGCAGCTCTCGCACCTCTTCCTTGGCGAGCTGCTGCCCACGAGGGTTCGTCAGATGGTCGGCAGCGCCGTGTCCCTCTACATGGGGGCGCTCAGCGCCGTCTTCATCCACCTCTTCCCCGTGTTGACCTCCGCGGTGGGATCGGCGGGGCTCTTCGCCGTGCTGGCCGCTGTGAACGTGCTGCAGGTGACGTTTGCGTACTTCTGCCTGCCCGAGACCAGAGGTTTGAGTCTGGAGGAGGTTCAGGTGCGACATTTCAGCAGCAAAAAGAAGATGGAAGCTGAAAAGGCGATTGAACAGAGAGAGCAGGAAGTGCCAAGCATAGAGATAATCACAGGTGACAGCTTGGGTGGCCTAAGGAACGGAATGAAGACACCAAGTAACGTGAACACGACGAATGATAGCCACAGCGGCAACAATGAGAACCCGAAGGCAGACGAGAAGCAACACAAAGGCACGCTAAACGCAGCTTATGAAGATACTGAGCAAGGACTTAGACGACGGAAAACTAGCGACCGGTCCGAGTCCGAATGCTACAGCAGCGACTGTAACAGTCAGCGAAAGGCATCAACGACGACTTTGGAAACACCGACAGATAAAGAAATGAGCTTCAGTCAAATACCGCTGGAGGACGATACACCACATGAGCAGCCAGCTGCGACGGTGGAGGAGAGCGATCACGTGTAATTGAGTTTGACAAGCTGCGTTGCATGATGTATTGCCAAGTGACTACCTTATACAACTTTGTAAATATCGTTCCTGGATCCCAGAGAGTATGTGTGACCTCTGTTTGGGATCAAACGGAAGCAGATTTATATAGCGTCGGAGCATCCCCGCATTGATATGCGGAAAACAGAGAATAAATCGCAAATAAGTAGCCGTAATGAGACGAGGAGTGACGCAGCTGCATCGTCATGTGTACATACATGCGTACGTACAAGGTGAGCTTAAACTTGTATTATTGTCCATGGAGTCGCGGCGCGTGTGACAAATAAATGCAATGTGATCTGTTGAGGCAAACTGCGTCATTTCATTCCAATAATGCACGACTCGAAATACAAAATGAACGGAAGATTACCGAGACTGTTCTTGTGAGCCGCGGAGGCACGAAGGTAAAGGGCAGGGGCCGCGGTTTCATCAGCCAGGGTGTGTCCCAGCATGTAGACAGGGTTTAATCAACAGCATAAATCATATACCCGAGAGTAGAGACAGCTGAAGGAGTGAGCAGATCCAGGTAAATGGTAAAATCTGACTCGTCCTAATAGAAATATGTATTAGCCCTGAATGCATGTGAACAATTACCTAGATCTATGTAGAAACAAAGAAAAATGATAGACGATGAACAAAAAAGTAACCAAAGGTTTGTTGTCAATAGTCAAAACACTTCATTAGAATTGTTTTTCAATTGAAAAACAAATCTGAATACCCTGATAATTTGGCAATATGTAAGATTGCATTATGTTTGAAATCGATAGGTATGTAACGTAGAGAAAGGGAAGCACACAGGAAATTTTAAACTTTCCTGTTTGCAGTGCAAAAAAAAAAACGTTTTTATGTATGAAGTAGGTCTTTTCATCAACGCTTATCCAAAAACGAAGTTTTGATACATGAACGGACGGTACAAACTAAGATAGGTTCGCTTTAGCAAAACGAATCGATTGATGTGTTGTATAACTTATTGCTGTGAAATTCATTACTTTTCTTACAAAAAGAAACAACTACAAAATTGTTACTTCACCTTGTTTGGCAACGGGGAATGGCAACTTTTTTTGCATATACAACATAGCGTCATATACAACGATGTATATTCAAAGCAAGTATGAGAGGAACAATTTTCTTTTGAATGCTTAGCATCATTTCATAGACAATAGTTTGACAGGTTATTAATAACAACTGCTGAAATAACCATCGTACGTTTAAAGTAGTTGGAAAATTTTGAGGTCAAATCTGAGCCAATAAATAACTACCTACTTCAGCCGCAAAATGAACAAGTGGCCACTGCCTGTTACGAACCAGCTAGACTCATTTCCCTTACGAGAAATGCACTTTATTCTGACGGTGTATCTCAACAAAATCAGGAACATTCAACTTCAATGAGCTTTCCAATGTAACATCAGCTCAAGCTCTCACTGCAATGTTGACAAAATCCTATGATTAAAACGAAATTCCTTGCGCTGTTACATACATGTCATGTTAGAAGCGAGCGCCTCTCACAGAGAACATGCAAACAGTTTCCTTCAGCCCAGCACGGCATGCTGAGAGCACTAAAACCTGATGCTAAAAGTCATGGCGTAAATATGTGGAATAAACAGAGTACTGTCCCGGAATCAGGAGCGCAGGCCGCTGCAATAGCAGATGCAGCGGAAACTTTCCATGAGCCATCGGTCTGGACTCGACTGATACGGGTCCACGAGCCACTGAGGTCAGAATGTTTCCGGTTCAGTGACACTACAGACATTGCATCATAAAAAGAATCGAATCTCTTTCGCCGCACAAATAAGTACATTTCCCTTGCAACAGGTCTGAACTAAACCTGACGCACCCATTGTTCAAGACTTTTTTATATAACGCCCCGCGACATTGAATGACCTCTCCTGGCATGCATTCTTCCATCCAATCGAGGCGCAAAAACAGTGCACCGGACAGGCGCTGCCGTTTGTTATTAATTCACGACACGGTTGAGATAAGCGACAAAATTAGGACGAATCACGGCTCTTGAACCAGCGAGCTGTGTCAACAGCGAACCCCCAGCTCAGTAGCACGTGACCGGCCAAAGGGTAGCGGAGCTTGGCCAGGCGCCATGATGCTGTGACACAGACGCGACCGGTCGACGGTATCGTGTGTGTAACCCGAGTAGTACTGTGGCGCTCCGGGCTGAGCAGGGTCAGAGCGGCGACCTCAGTGGTCAAAGGTCAGCGCGGCCACCTCAAAGGTCAAAGGTCAGAGTGGCAGCCTCAGAGGTCACAGGTCAGCGATGGCGGTCGAGGTCAAGGGTCCACGTGAGCGGCTATGGGCGCAGGTGAGGAGCAATTAGAATAGAAGGTGTTATTAATGGTCGCTGCATGGAAAATTGGTTGGATTTTCCGGAGCTTTTGGTATTGAGAAATTTGGAAATTTGTTTGAAAAACGGAAACATAGTTTGTTACTTATTTGTTCTTGTTGTTTCATTTACTTGTTAAAATTTGCTGTGCAGCATGTCAGGATAAGACCTCTTTACCTTTCAGTTTGGTGCACCATTCATTTGCCATACAAAGACTGATGTTCAGTGTGTTCTTTGTCAACATTACAACGGATATCACTGAGCAGACAGAGAGAATAACGATATTGAATAATAAAGGCACCAAGGCCAGATGTAAAGCTTTCTACTACGTAGAGTCGAGTCTTTCACTGTAATCTTATTAGGACTTTTCTATTCATAACAATAGTTTTTAAGGCTAGAATAGTGCTTTGGTATTGCTTTTATACTTAAGAGAGCCCATGTAGACTGTGGAGTTGAGCAGATATTTAAAGCAGCAAAACAGTGAACAACTTCGACACCGAAATATTTCGGTAGGTACACGAAGTCTCGTAGGATATTCAAGCAATGGAAAGTCCTGACCTTGGCCAGTTCGGGGATGTTTATTTTCCTAGACGAAAACTTATTTTCGTCCCGATTACAGTGAGACAAAAACGTCAACATGAGTGAAAAAACATTTTTAACGAATTAATTCAAGATTATAATTTATAATGAATAAACTACTTGTTAAATTTGGTCATTTACATTTGTCTTGAACCAAACTTCAAATTTCAGTGAACAAATTGAATAGCACCAAATTATCACTTCAAAATATCAAAATCCGACAGCTTGCATGCCGTTGTAAAACATACTAGATGAACGACATTTGACATATTCGAAAACTAAGTACCTAACGATCAATTTATTAAATTACTTCAAGTGACCCATTCCAAACTTATCATCATAATGAATAACAACAAACTAGTCTCAAACTTTGCCACCTACCTAGATTTACGCCTAATGATGAATATTGTTGAAAACCTCGCTCGCCACTAACTTAGATTCTCCATTGATAGCACACCAGCTTTTGAATAGGTGACATTGTATTGGTGGTATAGAGCATAAGCAATTTTAATGAAGAAATGCTTGCATTTTTAAAGAACGCCGTTCCACTAACCTTAAATTGATCACTTCTCTATTCCCTATCTTAAATAAATAATCCTTCCCTCGCTACTGACAGCTGAGAGTCAAGCTCACGTGAAATTGGCACGTGACTTATTTCTATTTGATCACTTGCAATAACTTTTCAAGCAATCAATCACACAAGACGATTGTAGGCGTTATAGCAACAAACAAACTCCTAGAATAATCAGAGAGCCCCGTACTTACTTCAATGAATATCTAACCAGTGAATCATTTTATATCATATTTAATCATTGCATACAATAAGCCAGAACAAAAAGCCTCACGATGTTTTGGGAGATTTTGAAAAAGGCTATTGTGGCCCACATTGCCATGATAAGATTAGAGAGGGCCAAAATGAATAGCTGGCGGAAAAGAATAGGGTTGAGGCCCAAATACCCAATATGGGACGAAGTCGTTTGGTGGTGGGGCGGAATATGCCGTGAGCTTCTAGTAAGAGGAATATGTCCCTGCTTCTTCCTCTTCAAGAACCGTCAAACCGAGGAAGAAATCAAAGAAGAGCTCGCCAAGCAAGAGGCGGAAAAGCGCAAGGCCGAACGGAAAAAGCGGAAAAATCCCCCGCTGTGGCGAGTCAAAGGGACGTGGCACAACCAGATCGTGATGGCGCTGTTTGGCTTCGCGTGCGGCGCCGTGGCCACGCTCGCCATCTACTTCTTCATGGTGTTCCAGCTGACGTACAATCCCTTCACGGCCACCATGTTCTGCCTCTGCGTCGGCCCCTTCCTTACCATCGGCCTGGCATTCAGCGAGGAGTTCAGACTGATGGGCATCCTCATCTTCCCCTACATGTTCGCGGGGCGCGGGCGGGCCATGCTGCTATCCTTCTGTCTCGTTCTGGCCGTCAACGGTCCCGGCAAGTCGATCATCTTCAACGCGGAGGTGCTCAACGACTCACTGGCGTGCTACTACAACGTCCTGGTCAACGTCATCTGCGACGTCATCAAGCAGGGCTTGAACGGCGTCATGAGCGTAGTGCAGGCAATCGTCAACATGGCCACTCAGATGATGTGCATCTACAAGAAGATCATGAAGGTCTTTGCCCAAATAAAGAACGCTATGATGGACATTGGCGTTGCCATCAAGAGTGCGTTCACATGGCTGCAAGCCATAGAAGGTGTCTGTGACGAAAAATACGGCGGACCCATGCAGCGATGTGAGAAGACGTTCAACGACGCCACCGACAACTGCATGGCCACGCTGGGACTGGGCGCACTGAACTACCATCTCTGCAGTATCGTGGACTGGTTCAAGGGAATCTGTATGTTTGCCCGTATCATCGAGTATCTGTGTCAGCCTGCTCGGGGAGCGAGAAAGGGCAGTGTTGATGACGCCAGGAGCTACATGTACCAAGCTTCGGGGAAGTATCACTCCTTCTTCCTCTTCGGACTGGAGCTCTACAGTGACTTTGACATGAAGGTAAACATGTCCAAGTCCCTGAAGCAGATTCGCAAGGAGATCTTTGACGAGGTGGTCGACAGAGGCGGCTGGGTGTTCTTCATCATGGACGCGTTTAGCTGGAGCTGCGTCGTGTACATCCTACTCATCCTCGCCAAGGCAGTCATGTACCGCTACCGCTACGTCACCGACGACGGCTACGACAACCACTACTTGTCCGTGCTCATCAAACGCGTGGATGACAAGCGCGAACAGATGGAGAAGCCCACCGTGCTCCCGCTGAAGACACGCGAAATGCGTCGGTACATCGACCCCATGTCGCTAGCACTCACACGCACAGAGATTCGTGAGCTGACTCGCGTGGCTGTGAACCTCATCGCCACCGGGTTCCAAATCGGCTACCTCATGTTCGTCGACACGTCGCTCTACTTCATCATGGAGACAATCCGGAGCAACGGCTACGTCAAGACCAACTTCAAGCGCCGCACGCCTGCCAAGGCGGTCGTACAAGGCGATGGATTCATGGCGGACGCTATCCGTTCAACATTCACCCACATGCCGCAGTCCTTCTCCAGTAACATCCCCGAGATTGACACCACCGAGTGTGTTCCGTACGGCTGGCCGCCGAACCACGACCGCTACCGCCAGATCATCGTCTTCTACCTCATGGTTCTCGTGTTCGGTCTCGCGCAGCCTCTGGCATTGCGTCTTCGCCATATCGCCTGCGGGTGGTACTACCCAGAACGTGCCAGAAAGCGGGCGCTCTGGCTTTACAACGCCATACTGAAACGCCGCGGCGGTTTTATATCATTCGTGCAGCGAACCCTCCGTCGCAAGCAGCTCGTCGACCCAAACATGGATGTGGTGGGGAGGATTCTGGAGCGGCTGGCGATCTCGATCCCTTGTCTTCGCGTGATGCTCACCTACCTCGGCATGGTTCGCGTCTACTGCGGCGTCTGCTCGGAGAGCTATGACCCGGAGGCTGACGAGGGCGCCTTCCGTCGCTGTGATAACTACGGCTGCGAGGGTGTGTACTGCCACGAGTGTTTCTCCGACATGAACAACCGGTGCACTATCTGTCTGAAGCCAGTTGACTACGGAGACATCTCTGACATCAGCGAAGAGGTCGACTCCAGCTCTGACGAGGAACTCATCAAGAAGCGAGAAGAGCGCCTTCTTATGAAGGAGCTGGGACTGCCTCCTCTTGAAGAGGATGAAAAGGAAGACGAGGATCTCGAGTACGACTACCAGGAGGATCCTGACCAAGCTGATGGCTGGGATTCAGACCAAGAGCGGTGGCAAAACCGACGCAAAGCGAGGCGTGACGTCGAGAATCAAAACAAGGACGGCGGAGCGACTATGGATATGCTGGAGAGTGAGGAGGAGAGCGACGATGAAGAGGCAGACGAAGTGATCGACACGTTCCACCCAGACGAGCTCAATGACGCCGACGATGAGGAGGAAGAGGAGGGCGAGGACGAAGAAGATGACGAGGTGGCCAAACTCCTGCCGCTTCCAAAGAACAAAGCGAGCGCGGCGGCCGCTAACTTGATTTCCACTGCAGTGTAATGGGGTTGGGGTAGGTGGCGCGCTTCTACGAAGTCCATGCCTTCTCCAATGTGTGAAATGCATCAGCACACACGCTGGTTCGTGTGCTATACTTTCCCGTGGCGCCAGTAAACGTGTGTTTCTCTCAATTAGCTGTCATGTCTCTGTGCTGTCCAATCCGTGTAATGAGCCCACAGTGTCCCTTGTGGTGTGAATTGTGAATTGTGATGTCCTTTGTCGAGTAACGTCCTACTAAGGAGAGTGGCTCTTGTAAACTAGCTGTGATTGAATGCGCATGCTGTAGCAATTATTTTCAAAGGGTATGCCGTATGTACTAGAATGAATTGCGCCATGCAACTAATAAAGTTGGGACTGAAACCAAGAATAGCTATCTCTTTCATACAACACAGCACTGTTGGCAGTACGAAATGCCGGCCGAATCGGCCCTTTTACAACAGATAATACACTGAATTAAATCGGACATCAAAGAGCTGACGCATACTTTAATCAGTTAGCTGCGAACATTTTTCGTATGCCATATCATTAAACTTATACGAGTATATCTCACGAAATAATAATCATCACTCATTTTAACGACTCCTTCTTTCGCGCCATCAACACAGTCATAGGCATGCTCAGAGCTCTCTATCTGCATCCTTCCGAATGCCAACATCTCCGTTGTTCCCAGTACACTACACAGAAAAACGGACCAGTTTCCCAGAGTTCCGCATCTATCAGGCGTTTCAGTAATATCATCAAGTATCCTTCCACTTTCAATCTAACGTCAACATCTTGATTCAGATTACCTCACACCTTCAACTCATCACATAATCCACAGCTCCAACAGCAGACTTGGATTTCCCGTACATACCCGCACACTGCGGTCTAACCCCACCACCTCCATCCCTCAGCCGACCGTCCCACTGCGGTCTAACACCACCCCATCCCTCAGCCGACCGTCCCACTGCGGTCTAACCCCACCCCATCTCTCAGCCGACCGTCCCACTGCGGTCTAACCCCACCCCATCCCTCAGCCGACCGTCCCACTGCGGTCTAACCCCACCCCATCCCTCAGCTGGCCGTCCCACTGCGGTCTAATCCCACCCCATCCCTCAGCCGACCGTCCCACTGCGGTCTAACCCCACCTCCATCCCTCAGCCGACCGTCCAACTGCGGTCTAACCCCACCCCATCCCTCAGCCGACCGTCCCACTGCGGTCTAACCCCACCCCATCCCTCAGCCGACCGTCCCACTGCGGTCTAACCCCACCCCCATCCCTCAGCCGACCGTCCCACTGCGGTTTAACCCCGGACCTCCATTCCTCAGCCGACCGTCTCACTGCGGTCTAACACCACCCCATCCCTCAGCCGACCGTCCCACTGCGGTCTAACCCCACCTCCATCCCTCAGCCGACCGTCCCACTGCAGTCTAACCCCCATGACCTCCATCCCTCAGCCGACCGTCCCACTGCGGTCTAACCCCATCCCATCCCTCAGCCGACCGTCCCACTGCGGTCTAAAGGCCTGGCTACACTATGCGTTTTCTTCGTGCGTTTTTTGCGTGTTTGCGTGTTTTGCGTGATATCGTTCTAGAAAAAAGAACGATATTACGTTTTTGTGATGTTTTTCACCTTAAATTTTAGTTACATAAGAGTTATATTAGCTTTTGTATATAACCAAAGTAAAAATTATATTGTTTATAACTTTTTTCCTAGAACGATATTACGCAAAACACGCAAACTTGCAAAAACGCACGCAGAAAACGCATAGTGTAGCCAGGCCTTAACACCACCCCATCCCTCAGCCGACCGTCCCACTGCGGTCTAACCCCACCCCATCCCCCCGCCGACCGTCCCACTGCGGTCTAACCCCGGACCCCCATCCCTCAGCCGACCGTCCCACTGCGGTCTAACCCCACCCCATCCCTCAGCCGACCGTCCCACTGCGGTCTAACCCCACCCCATCCCTCAGCTGACCGACCCACTGCGGTCTAACCCCACCTCCTCCATCCCTCAGCCGACCGTCCCACTGCGGTCTAACCCCACCTCCTCCATCCCTCAGCCGACCGTCCCACTGCGGTCTAACCCCACCCCATCCCTCAGCCGACCGTCCCACTGCGGTCTAGCCCCACCCCATCCCTCATCCGACCGTCCCACTGTGGTCTAACCCCACCCCATCCCTCAGCCGACCGTCCCACTGCGGTCTAACCCCACCCCATCCCTCAGCCGACCGTCCCACTGCAGTCTAACCCCCATCACCTCCATCCCTCAGCCGACCGTCCCACTGCGGTCTAACACCACCCCATCCCTCAGCCGACCGTCCCACTGCGGTCTAACCCCACCCCATCCCTCAGCCGACCGTCCCACTGCGGTCTAACCCCGGACCCCATCCCTCAGCCGACCGTCCCACTGCGGTCTAACACCACCCCATCCCTCAGCCGACCGTCCCACTGCAGTCTAACCCCACCACCCCATCCCTCAGCCGACCGTCCCACTGCGGTCTAACCCCACCCCCATCCCTCAGCCGACCGTCCAACTGCGGTCTAACACCACCCCATCCCTCAGCCGACCGTCCCACTGCAGTCTAACCCCACCACCCCATCCCTCAGCCGACCGTCCCACTGCAGTCTAACCCCACCCCATCCCTCAGCTGGCTGCGGCACTCGTGATGTCGCATACCCACTGGATTTACGGCACCTTCATCAGCTTCAACGGACTGCTGATCGCAGAGTCTCAGTCAGAGACAGCGCGCCTCAGTCTACCTGAAGCCACTCTGGTGGCTTCCATTGCGCAGGCCGGCCGCGTCCTAGGTTAGTGGGGGTGGGGGGGGGGGACAGAGCGTCATAGTGTATGAGATTAGTCATAGGCTAGTGGAAAAGTGTCTAGATTCTAGGGGAAGGTATAAGTTTGTGTGATAGCAAGGGAACAAAAAGTGATTCTCGGGCTGGCAATATTACTAGGAGCGAATGGATAATGCCAATGCTTGTGCGCCATCAACTCCCCAGTCCCCAGTCCCATCTACTAGCTCAACTTCATCCTATCTCTTCAGATAACCTGACAGCACCCGATTTCTCGCCAGGCTGCCTGCTCTCCGCCCAGCTGACCGACCGCCTGGGCGTGCTGCGGGTCATCCAGCTCGGCACGCCCATCAACCTGCTGGCCTGGCCTCTGATGACCCTAACCAGCGGCATGACCACGATGGTAGCCGGATCGATCCTGCTTGGGGTATTTGTAGGCCTCAACGCGTTCGGAGGACGGCTATACATCGCCGAGGTAGGCACAGAGACAGGGGGAGGGGTATGTACCTAGTGTCTGCTGCCAACAAAGTAACTACATAGTGACGCAGCTGGTGGTGTATGTAAGGTGTGAATGCAATTTATTTCCATGAGCTTGCTTATGGAAAGTGATACAAACTGATTTTTAGCAGCACTTATCGTTAATTTAGCGCAGCACTAAGTACTAACGAATAATCACATTGCACGTGTGTGGGGGTGCAGCCGAGACAGAGGTCCAGGTATGTACCACATAGCCAAGCCGTTAATTTAGTTGGCCTTTTTTGAACTGATTTATTTTCGTGAATGGGTGTTTTTACGGTAGTCCGTACGCCCTACCCCGTTTAGCAGCTCAGCGACGGCAGTGATTTCGTTACGCGATCCAGTGACGTCATTTGCCCGCTCGGCCAGGTGAGCTCAGTGCACCGTAGGGCCACACTCTGCTATCTGCCGACCACCGCGGTCGGTGTGGCCCTGTTGGCCTGCTTCTCGCTCAGTGCTGCCATCCCGTGGCGATACGCGGCACTACTCTGCGGCTGTGTGCCCTCTGTTCTGCACTTCTTTGGAGCGACTCTGCTGCCAAACTCGCCAAGGTAGGCGAGAGCCATAACATTGCCGAGTAGAATCGTCGTAAAGCATGCCAGTGGACGTTCTTGCGTATGCAAATAAGTTGGAATGGATATTGGCACATGCCACATAATCTACTTGTCGTAACAAACGTGTGTTACCAAACATGCTTTTTCCAAATACAGATGCGGGTTATCCATTTTCGAACATAAGTTGCATTTCGCACTGTGCAAAGAAAGCTACAAAGGGATAAGTCACACACGAATTGACCTTAGTACCGCGAACTGCCGACAGATGGCTCTTGCATCACGGCGCTGCCGAGGAGCAGGCCCGGAAATCCATCGCTTTCTACCGTGGACCACAAGCGGACATATCGTCTGAGCTTAGGGATATCCGGCTCTCCCTCAAAGGCGGCAAGAATCTCAATATTCTCCGGCAGGTACGCTTCATATTTATGCACGCTGCGCAGTGGCAGTGAATTGCATATCTCTGAGAAAAGTGGGCCATGGGCAAAGAGCTAGGAAGTTATGATAAGAATATATCCATTTTGATATAAATATATAAACAAGGGAATGGGAGTGATACAAAACAAAAGTAAAAAAAAATCACGAGTTAATCAATTTTTTTGCGAAACGCAACTTATGCAACTGGTGTCCGGTGTTCATAGTTCGTAGAAAACTCATCACATTCAACAGGTCCTCTCTTTCTATGAACTTACGGAAATGATGCTCCGAAGAATTTGGATTGCTATATCCCTAATCACTGTGTTACTTGCCTTCCCGCGCCACCAGGCCAAGCTACTCTTCACCGACTGGTCGGTGGCGCGGCCCTGCCTGCTGCTGCTGATGCAGTACGTCTTCGACGTCTTCTGCGGCGGACTGGTGCTCGCTCAGTACGCGCCCGGCATCTTTCAGTCGGTCGTGGCCTCGCTCTCTGCCGCCCAGTGCTCCCAGTTGTTAGCCGCACTGCAGGTAAACTATGCCCGGCGCCGGCCGGTGGTTAGTTGGAGTAACGGCCGCTAGATGGCAGGACCGGCGCGGCGGCGCCTGCAGATAGACTGTGCCGGATAGCTCTAATACAGGCGGCGCCAGAGGTAGACTGTGCCGGATAGCCCTAATACGCGCGGCGCCTGAAGGTAGACTGTGCCGGATAGCCCCAATACAGGCGGCGCCTGAAAGTAGGCTGTGCCGGATAGCTCAATATGCGCGGCGCCTGCAGGTAGACTGGGCCGGATAGCTCCAAAACACAGCTTAACCCATCATGCCACGCCGATCTAGTCGAAGTGTTTCAGACTGATCATAACCTACGGCTCCGATGCTTGGTTCGCTGGTAATTTACCGATAGTGTAGTTGCAGCCTTTTTCTAATTCGAGCCCTCATGTTCGTCCATGCTTTAGTTCAAAGTCGTATTATACCACCGATACCAATATGGCGAACCTTTACCTACCCCGGCCTTGAGGTCCGATATTTTTTAGCAACATTCCCTTCCTGTCCTTAACTCTTTGATCCGATAGACGCCGTATAACACGCACGTATGATCTCGTTCATTCGTCTCACCGCCCCACCCATTGCCCCAGGTCTGCGGGCTCATATGTTCGGCGACCCTACTGCGCTGGTGGGGTAGGCGCATCGTTCTGATGACTGCTGGAGCCCTCGCCTGCACCGGAATGCTAATCGTGGCAGCGTTCTACTACTTTGAGGTGGGTTGAGATTTCAGATATACTTACCCGTAGACGTCTCATAACGACTTATGGATGGTCATGTAACTATCATAATGTTGAATGCATGCCAAGGACGTTTCAAATATACCTACAGCCAGTGCTACCGAATCCATTCTACGGCATTTATAAGATTGGGCCCACACATCCGCCTCTCTCTCTCTCTCTCTCTCTCTCTCTCTCTCTCTCTCTCTCTCTCTCTCTCTCTCTCTCTCTCTCTCTCTCTCTCTCCCTCCCTCTCCCTCTCCCTCTCCCTCTCCCTCTCCCTCTCCCTCTCCCTCTCCCTCTCCCTCTCTCTCTCTCTCTCTCTCTCTCTCTCTCTCTCTCTCTCTCTCTCTCTCTCTCTCTCTATCTCCCCCCAAGTCCCAGCAGTCCCAGCTCACGCCTCTCTCTTTTCCCAGGACTCTCTCTCCGAGTACAGCTGGCTGGTACTGCTCGGGGTCGTCCTGGCGAACGCAGCCAGCTCCGGCGGAGTATCGCCAATCTCCCACGTCATCTGTGGCGAACTCCTTCCTCTCTCCATCCGCCCTCTCTTCGGCAACGTGCTCTCACTCTACCTGGGCGGCATGTCCCTCACCTTCCTCAACATCTTCCCGCTCCTGAGGTCGGCGCTCGGCTCGCACGGCCTGTTTGCCGCCCTGGCCGGGGTCAATGTACTGCTGATGCTCTATGCCGCTTTTCTGCTGCCCGAGACTCGAGGGCTGAGTTTGGAGCAGGTGCAAATGAGGCACTTCAGCAGTAAGAAGAAAACCGCGGCGGTGGAAGCGAACGGAGCAGCAGTGGCGGCGGAAGAAGGGAAGGCAGTGGTGGGGGAAGCTGGGGAAGCGAAAGTGGCGGAGACAGCGGGCGATGCGGCGGCGATGGAGGCGGAGGAGACGGCGGTGGCGGCGAAAGCAGGGGAGGCGGCGGAGACAGAAAATGAGGTACCAGCGCTGAGCACGGAGGAAAGGGAGGTGTCAACGGCTGCGGCGACGGAGCCAGGACTGGAGGCCAAAGCAGAACCTGCAGACGGTGAGAGGGCAGCCCGCGCCAGTATCCGAGACCGAGGGGGAGAAACAGACAATATCGTTGGCACCGGCCGATTCGGAGGGAGAGAAATGAGGAGGGAAGAAGACGGAACAGAGAGAGATGGAAAGGGAAGGAAGGATTAAAGCCGGAGCAGAGGAAGATGAAAATGAAGTGGCATAACATCCGCACTGATAAGAAAGCAAGGATGGCTTACAAAACGGGATGCAAAATACGGGTGTGACCGACGATCAACTTCCTAATGTAGATAACGACCGGCTGGATGAGCGAAACCAGCAGACAAAGTGCATAGCTTGGAGTCGGACAGGCACGCATTGTAATCAACAACACAAGCCAGCTGAGCTGGCAAGGGACCAACTTAGGATGGCCTCCGCCCCAACCGACTGTGTAAAAGGCAGGGAACAATGGAGAGTCGAAGGAAGGACCACCGTTCTAGGAAAACCAGAGGCCAGACAAGTGTCGTGAATTCTGGACCAAGAAAGAAACCAGGCAGAGTGAGTGGAGCAAACGAACTAGTTATGCTACGTCAGTAACGTAACGAACTGATTGGCCTGTTGTATGTTTTCCGATAAGGATGGAAGAGATCCAACGCCTTAACAGTAAGATGCTGAACTATGTTACCATAGAAATGCCCAGTCACCTTGGATTTTGTTACTGAGAGTGTCGAGTCATGTTTAAATATAGCAATGCATGTAAACTCAGTCCTAGTATTACTTCGGACTCAAATAGATGAAGGGGATCACTACATAGACACAAACTGGTCTTTAGAGATTCAGTACCCCAGTCCAAACACCACACTCTACATTCAGTAGTTCCGTACCGCCCACTACCCAACATTCGTCGGCTGCTCGCGAGACCAAGTATAACGCCTCCAAGCAGGCGGAGACCCAACATATGACGTCATAAATCAATACCGATGACGTCACCGGTCGGCGGCGAGTCCGGTCGGCGCCAGGAGCTCTCCGCCCGGTCTGCCCACCCGTCTGGATCTAGAGACTTACACTTACAGTAGCACATTATAGCGATACTATAACTGTCCGACGGTGTGGGTGGGCTTTTGTTGACGAAAATAATATCCGCAAAGGTATCATAAATCGTTTCGCTATTCTATGTTGTTGGTAGTGTTGTTGTAATTTGGTCAGTGGACCTGAAAAGCTCAGTGAACTAGCGGCAGGTAAACGGTCTGGGTTCCATCCTCCATGGGCGAGCTTTCGCTTATGATGCTAGAAAGCAGAAACTACGGAGAACTGGATGTTCTGTTGATTCAGAGGTAGGTTGTCCTGTTTACTATACAGTGTGCACTGAAAACATGTGTGGGTCTAAATCGGACTGTGTGTCAGAGAGTGAATGCATTAATTGCGGTGACCGATTGTGAGTATGTATTAACTGTAAAGTGTATGGCCGAATATGTGTCGGAGCGTGAAGTAAGGTAAGTAAGGTGTAATTATGTTTTAAGTATATGACGGAGTGGGAGTGTGTGTCGAAATATTCGTCAGAGTATGTAGGGCCAGAGCATGCGTCGGAGTACTATGTTTCGAACTTCAGAGTGGGACTGTTTGTCGGGCTCGGGGCATGTTTCGGAGTGTACATATATCGGAGTATGTCTCAGAGCGTGTTCGAGTGTATTTCGGAACATATTTCGGAATATATGTCAGGGTACATGTTGGAGCAGGATTGCGTGTCCGAGTACAATATGTCAGTGGGTGTAAATGTCACAGAGATCGGGTACTCACCAGTATCGGAGTCGGACGTATCAGCGGCCCCGGTCTGATCCCCGGCAGTGGCACCCGTCACAGCCGGGTGGTCAGAGGACGACATCCTGCCGGACAACATATCAGACAGTGAGACCGAGAGAGAGAGAGAGAGAGAGAGAGAGAGAGAGAGAGAGAGAGAGAGAGAGAGAGAGAGAGAGGGAGAGAGAGGGAGGGGGAGAGGGAGTGAGAGGGAGGGGAGAGGGAAAGGGAGAGGGAGAAAGATAGCAAAAAGAGAGTGCGAAGAATAAACCATAGGATGAACGTAAGCATATGAAACATTAAATTGAACTTGAGTTAACTTTAAAATAGCATTTTAATGAATTGAAACAGCTCTTATTACTTTTCCTAATATCGCAAAGTAAATGTTAAGTTGTTAATAATACATTTTTTAACGATAAACAACGTTCCAGACCTGGTCGCATTGTTAGCCTCTAGCGCGGGCGCAGAGAGGTCACGGTCACCGCCGGCCGCCTCTATCAGGGGCGCGATAAAGTGCGCGATGAAGGCGTCGTGTCCGAGTCTCACGGCCAGATGGAGCAGGAAACTGCGGTGGAACAGCTTCATCGACTTGCACGTCATCTGGAGCAAAGAAAGAGAAAGAAGGTGTTGGCCAAAAGGACAGACCATGCTCTAAAAACATGTCCCACAGGAAAGCGCATAGTCAGTAAGGAATTGATAGAGTGAACGCCGCATTGCTATGACAATCAGCATCTAGATAAATACTAACATAACATCAGCAGCGGTAATTATACTTCGAGGCCACAAGAAGAGCTAGCTGATATTGAGACGTCCATGTCCGCTCCATTCCCTATCCCTTCCCTCCCTCCCTCCCTCTGCCCGCTCTCACCGCGTCGCGTCGGTACATCCTCAGCAGCGGCTGCAGGAACACCTCCCGGGCCGCGGCCGGTCCCAGCCGCGCCGCCACCACGCTGAACACGTGCCAGGCGGCCAGCACACTGGTGGCACGTGCCGTCAGCAGCCGGGTGACGGGCGGTACCAGTAGCTGCATCTCGGCGTCGCTGAGCTGGGACAGCAGAGGTCCGAGCCGAGCGCTGAACCGACGCACCTGGTGGTTACAGAGGCAACTAGGCGTTAGAATCCAGATAGGGCTGCTTAGGCTCTATGTAGAAGAAGACGTCGAATTATATGTTGTAGCCCACTTCTTTTTTTAAATCACAATATGTTCTGCGTCAGTCTGATTTCACTTGGGTCAATCTTGTCGGTCTGCTCGATGTTTGTCATACCTTAATTTAAATTGATTGCATGTTTTTGCCTTCTTGATGTGAGAGCTTAGCGAGTTCCATTTCTTTATAACTCTTCGTAAATGGATGGAATTCGCTAACCTCTCACATCAAGAAGCTCTCACATCTCAATGTTAGTATCAAACAGTCGCGGAGCTAACGATGATGAACTGGGGAGGTAACACAAATGATTAGGTACTCGATTAAGGATAAAATACTGGAAGAACTAGTCCAGCAAAAAAAATATATAGGGTGAAGGGTGAAATATAAAATATATAGGTATATTTAAAAAACATATTTTTCAATCACTTTCAGTCCTCAGCCTTACAGCAAAACCCTGAAACTCCTTTCAGCCAGCCGCTCTCTCCCTATCCCAATCCGTCCCAGTATGACTCACCCACAGCTCTGCAGCAGCCGCTGCCTCTGTCCCGGTCGCTCCCACCTCCTCCTCGACCTCCCTCTGCCGCTCTGCACAGCTCCCAAACTCTGCCAGCGCCGCGTACAGCGCCTCGACGTGCGGCGGCAGCGGCAGCGGCGACAGGGACGGCGTCAGCAGGGCGGCAACCGTGGGAGGCGGCCGGGCGGCGGCGGCGGCGGCGGCGGCGGCGGTCACCAGAGGCAGCAGGCCGCTCAGACACGCCGGCACCGCCGGACTGGCGAGCGCCTGCCGCGCCGCCTGTAGGCGCGACTCCAAAGGCGCCGAGTCGGACAGACTTCGGAAGGCGGCCGGGGAACATAGCTCGGCCATCAGACACAGCCAGGCGTAGATGTCACGGTGGCGGCGGGCCTGGGAACGGTAAAAACGGGGAGAGGGATCAGAGCAGGGTGACGAAAAGAGGGAGCAAAAGGTATCGGGCGAGGAGGGAGGACAGGGTGATGAGAAAAGCAGCACAGGCTAACGAGAGCAGGGAACACAGGGTAACAGCCAGGGCAGCATAAGATTTCTGCCACCTCTCTCCTTTCTCTCTATCCTGCTCTCTCAACTTTTGCACTCCCTCTACCGGGCGCTCCACTACTCTGCTTTCACTCTCTTCACCCTCACCCTCACCCTCACCCTCACCCTCACCCTCACCCTCTCTCTCTCTCTCTCTCTCTCTCTCTCTCCCTCTCTCTCTCCCTCTCTCTTTCTCTCTCTCTCCCCACTCTCACCTCCAGCGCCTCCTCTACCGCTCCTCCGCTCTCCCTCCTCTCGGTGACCAGTCGGCCTCTCACCGCCCCTACGAACGCCCCCAGAGCCTCCAGTCTGTGCAGAGCCGCCGCCGGCTGATAGCCCGCGGGTAGACGGATCACTGATGAGGTCGGCACGTGGACGAAGGAGGCCTCCTCTGGGTCGGCAGAGTCACGGTCGTTGTCCGAAACGGCAGCGCGAGATGCTTCTGTGCGGAGGGGAGGGGATGATGTTGAGTTGGAGATATAACACCGTCGCTAGTCAATAGTCATGACAGTAGACTAAGCGTCGGCTTGTTAACAGTTGAGCGTCTAATCAGTTTGTTGTGTATCTGTGTTGTGTCTTCCGATGTGAAAATATGTAGTTTCGAATGGCGAATGTGGAAAAAGTTAGCCCATGTCATGTGTACTTCATAATGTCCAGCTATATTACACTAATATCAACCAATGAGCCATCACGATGAAAATCAAGTGTTTCCTTGCCGAGTCTATGAAAACACAAACAAGCAGACAGAAGCCAAACACAGACACAACAGCTAATTAAAATCTTCAAACTTCATGCATCACGTCTGACCTGGATCACAGCCGGGCGAATTGAATTCGTCCTCAGCGGGCGGCAGGCGGCTGAACAGAGGCAGCGCCATCTGCCTAGGCGGGTGCGGCACGGCGAACAGCTGCAGTACACCCTGGCGCCGCAAGGTGTCACTGCTCTCGGCCAGGTGGCGACACACGTTCTTCGCTCGTACTGCGGCCATGCCCGTCAGTCTGGTGAAAGAGAGATGGTGAGATTTTCTACAGCTGGGATTTAAACAGTGAGCCTGCAACTCTACTAAAAAGGTCTTCAAGAGCACAAAATTATCATCATGCATAGCGGATCCATAGCCATAAAAATCGCCCTAATAAAAGTCGCAATTATTGAAATTATTCACGAACCCATAACCCCGATCCCATTATATTATCCATGACATAGAGGACGAAGAAGCTCCTTCGCCACCGGTCCCTCACTTGTAGCCGAAGGTGAGGTCGATCCAGTGATGAAGCTGGGCGGAGACGTGGTCCGACTCCAGCGCCGCCCGGTGGCCGGCGATGAAACTAGCCGGCGAGTCAGCCCATTCGGGCAGCTCGAGGTCGGCCATGTCCGGATGGATCGACTGGTGGGGGAGGGGAGGGGTCAGCAGCGCGGGTTCAAATACAGGGATGCGCTGCAGCCGTCCGCCTTAGGCGTATATTTCGAGGGGGGAAAGCACACAAGTCACTAACTTCTACTGTATGCAATCAGAATGACCTGAAGCAAAGCAGCCATTGATCAGTTGGTTTCAAGGAACAGGATTCTTCAAACTACATTCTGAATTATGATATGTCAGAGCGAATGAATCGTGGCAACCAGCATTACCAACATTACAAGAAGCAATTTTACAGCCATAACGCATTAACCAGCTTAATAAAACGTCACTTCTGTCACGTTTTCCACTCCCTACTTAAAAACACCACTAACCAACTGCTACGAACCTTGACGATCTCTGGGTCGGTGTAGAACTGCGGTATGCACTCGTCCGGGGTCCAGGCCTGCAGTCGCACCAGCGAGGTCGGGTACTCGCCCGGCACCCACTGCGCACTGTGGGGAATATTTAGACCGTGATGCGAAAAAACACATGTCAACACAAATCAAATTGCCTAACCGCTATGGAAAATACCCAAACACGTCCAGTATTTTTAGAGTTACCTTCGTATAGTAACTATTCGATATAAGCTCGTATAGCCTGGTGGTTTCATCTGTCTGTATAGGTAAGGTAGGAACCGCCGTGCGAGTCTCACCGCACGTGTTTACAGAGTACGGACTGTGGCGTTCTCCGCGCCATATACACGTAGTAGGTGATCTCAGAGAGCTATACATCTGTCTACATACCGCCGTCTACACGTGTAGACTGGCGTTGATAACGTCTACACTCACCGCACGTGTTTACAGAGTACCGACTGGGGCGTTCTGCGGGCCATATACACGTAGTAGGTGATCTCGGACAGCATATCCGATATGTGGTGCGCCACCTGTAGGACAGACGACACGCTGGATTATGCATCCCCGCGGAGTTCGACCGCAAGAAGACTGCGATAGGAGTTCCGTAAATGAAAACAACGTGCAGTATTCAACTATTCAGCACCTCCAGAAATTCGCTATAGGAGAACATACATTAGACATGGACACAAAACATATTTAATCCTATAACCGGTTAACACTTTAACTCAAAAAGCAACGGAAAAGACTTATGCTGTCAAACTAGCTACGAGGTTATCAAGCCTACCACCCAATCGCTTCACGACCTTCTCTCCGACCCCCACTCCCCTCCCCTCTCCTGACCTGATCGTCGGCCGAGGCGCCGGCCTTGTACTGCAGATCCAGCTGCTCGTCGCCCTTATTGAGGCGGTATTTGCTGCGGCTGAGGTCCCGCCAGCCGCCGCGGCGGCCGGTCAGGTCACTGACCCACGGCACCACCGGGTGGTAGGCGGGGTCCTCAAACCGGCGGCCAGACAGACGGTTCAGCGCCAACAGGTAGCCCAGGTTTGAGAGCCGCCGGCACGACCACGCCTGGCGAGGGGAGAAACGGCAGTCGTCAGTTCACTATCGATAAAATGCTGTAAGAAGCAGCATTCTGGAGACGTCAAGCCAGTAGCCACCGTAAGTTATCAAAATATCAAACAAAACATGAACGACCATAAATCCGCCAACCATTGAGTGCGAAGGTGAATAATGACATTCCAGAGAGCATGTGCTTACAACTTACAAAAGCATCAACAGAATCAGGAGCTAGATTGAAATGCCCAGTTATGATTCCCTGACCAGTACGCAGTTATCATATCAATGCCACCGCCTAGCGGTATGATACCCAATCACTCTAAGAAAACTTGAGCTTTACCAGCTAGCCCAATATGGTTGCAACATAGTCAAAAGAAATAAGCTGAGACCCACCTGAGTAAGGAAGCTGAGATTCTCTTCCGACTCCATCTTCTCGCCGTCACACCATTCCCAGTCTCTCTCCGTCCCTCTCTCGGCCTGCTCCGCCACTCTGCCCTCCTGCTCCGCCGCCCTCTCGGCCGCCGGGAGGGAGCACAGGGCGCCGGCCAGTCGGGGTCTCACTCGCAGCCACAGGGTCGAATCGACCCAGACATCGGAGAGCCGCAGGTCCCCGGCCGGCACCCCGCGCCGTCGGAGCTCCGCCAGGGCACGCAGCAGCTGGTACCCCACAAACACCGCCTGCGGGAGTACAAACATGTGTGAAAACAGGCATTTGACAAACATAACACCCCACTGAGCAGTATGGAACAAATAATCTAAGAGCTTGTGTGAAACAAGGGACAAGAGAACAAGTACAAAACAAAAATGACAATAGCAACAAGAAAAACATGATACAATTCGACAAAGCAGGCAGCTGAATCAATATACCAGCAGAAAAACGGGTCAGAGACAAAAAAAAAAAAATACCCGCCTGCCGGAATTCTTTGCCTAAAGACCGCTTCACATACGGAGCGTAAACGGTGAAGCCCTATCCGCTTGCGTGACCATCTCGTTCACGCTCAAAAAAGGCAAGAAAGGCAAAAAATCTGGCAGGCGGCTATTTTTCTGTTGGTAAAACTGGCCTCAGAACAGAAAATTGAAAATTCTGGCAACGAAAAAATATCTTATCCGTGACCCTCATTTCTACGGCGTGACCCCGTACCTTTCGGCTATTCTCGGTCAGCTGGCCGGGACTGAAGTCGGCCAGGTGCCTCAGTGTAAACTCAGACCGGTCAGAGACAACCACGAACGAACGGCGCAGCTCCAGAACCGCCAGCGCCGGCTGCAGGCCGTCCGCAGCGACATCTATAACCGGCTGCCGGCTAACGCCACCGCCACCTACCGGCCGCTGTCGGAAGGTGCGGCAGGTGAGGTGGGAGGTAGGGGTGAGGGCCGGTGGAATCAGAGGCGTTCGATTCGATGTGCGATAGAAGAGTTAAACGTCTGATTCACTTCAAGAGACAATAAATGTAACTGGTAATGAAAATGATAAAATCGATAACATGTAGCGACTATACCTAACTTTTGATTTCATGATTGTTGAGCTCTAAAAAGCTCGTAATACCGTCAAATGTACCGATGACTCATTCCGGTTTCAAGAAGCTGTCACAATCACATGAAATTTACAATTCAAACAGACGATGAATTAGCTCATTAGGTACTTCATTTATCACGCATTTCACGGTCCAGCTCAATGCGCCAATATCACATCAGAGTGCAACCCATTCTATCCTGCTGGTCCCTACCTACCTGATCGTCTCCTTGCTCTGCGGTCGGACTGTGCAGGCCGCCATTCCCTCCCACTGGCGCCGGTCGCAGCCCGAACACCCTTCTGAGCAGCTCACGGAGAGCGGCATCCGCCGTTACCATGGCAACTGGCGGACGCCGTTCCGCCTCCTCCGGGTACACATCTGTTGGCAGAGGGAAAGAAATTAGAAAGGAAGAGAGATGAGGATTCGCATGAGAAGGTAAAATCCAAATCATAATCCAGTGTATTGGGGTATCTATTAATATTCACCAATATGGATGGTGGACATGAAGTGCAAAAGCGAGTCCAGTTTCACAAACTGAAGCATAAGACCTAAGAGTCTACATAGACAAAGTGAACCTGAGAATTGAGACGGACAGAATGGTGACTTTCTTGTCCCTTTTTCACAGAATGGTGACTTTCTTGTCCCTTTTTCAACAGCTCTCTCCTCCTCCTCGTACCAGGATATTTAGTGGCCACCCGACGCCAGCTGTTGCAGAAGTTATCACGCGCCACCTGCCGCAGGAGCACCGCGTATGTCCCGGCCGCCTCAGTGCCGTCCGATGAGGGCTCCGGAAGACAGACCAGGTGTTCCCCGGGCTTTGGGATACTCTGGTGATAAGAGTCAGAGACATGATCAACTTCGGACAGAAGTACTGCACAGAAATGGCATCTGAGCAGTAGGAACTTGGTAGGCAGAAGCCCATAGCGTACTGAGAACTTACGTACAATTAGTGTGGAAATAGAGCTTTCCCAATCAATTGTATTATATAAGCTCAAGGATCATAATTCTGAAGGTCATCCTGATGAAAATAAAATGCTAGATAAAAAAGTAAATAGTTGTAGTTTGGCCAAACAATGTTTAGTGACATTCACAGACAGTAGGACATGGGTAATCCATCGTAACTGCATGGCTAACAGCACGCCTCAGCTATAAGATATTGGCTGAATCTGAGCAGCCCAAAACACACCCAGAGGTTGAGCAGGGTCCAGCTGGTGTCCGGCGGACAGTGTTCCCGGACTGCATACTGGACCTCATCAGACGAGAGCTCCTTGTGCAGCGGGAACCACGACGGCAGAGCGTGTTTGGCTCTCAGCTCCCTGGAGAAGTGGAGATTCAGCTTATACTTGGTTCCAAAGAGTTAAAATGTAAGTTATAAATACCTACAGAAAGCAAACACCTGGTTGATAACAGAGCAATGGCATGACAGCTTGCCAAGTGAGAGTAGCAATGACATCCAAGTGTATATAGCTCCGTATTTAACAGGCATCGGTAAAATCCTTTTCGAAAGGATTGCATTCTCAATCCACATTCCTAGTGCCGAAGTGGATTGCATTCCTACCCGCAATCCCCTTTTTCACTTGGATTGTGATCAAATCCGCAATCCTTTTTTGCAATCCTGTTGTATTATTATGTGCATGTAGGAATTTGATTAGATTTATCGTCCTTTGATCTCTTCGACACCAAAACTGTTCGATAAGTTATATTTCGTATTAATGAACAAACATGATCAGTAATCACAATTGACACTAAGAATCGCCGGATCACCAAAGCCGGCCTACGCCTTTTCCACACGAGTCTTCCACATAATCACTTTACTCATAAGTCATACTCCTCCCAGATGCCCCTAACCCCCAAGCAATCTTCCCTTCTTGCCCGGGCCTCACCCCACCTGACCCCAAAAAGCAGAACGTTCGATTCACTTAATAATAAAATTCACTTGAATTCAATTCAATTCAATTCACTTAACAAATAAATGACCAGTTCACGTGCACTTTTGAAACAACGCCCTTTCAAGCGGTAACATTAACCCGCGCCCCACTGGGGTCTGCGTATAACACGCCCTACTGGGGGGGGGGGGCTATTCATAGCCCCCCCCCCTCCTAACTCCGAAACTACTGGGCCGATCGTCAAAATTCAAACGGCGTCTGATAGCCCCGGAAAAACTGTCGAGCGAAACCTAATTTCATTGACCTCGAGGTCACCGATGACGTCACAGGTCAGGTCAAAGTAAAAATTATTAGCATTTTGGCTTGTTCACGTTTTGGGCTCTGGCCGCCGTCTTAAAAGTCAGATCAGGCTCATTTTTTGTTCACACACTCGTGAACAGATGCTCTAGATACCCTGAGGGTACCAAACTTGTACTTTGATTTTCAGGTCAAGGTCAGGTCATCACAGGTCACGAAAATATTATATCATGCGTCGGTCACGTGACACATGTTTTATGGTCCATTTAGGCCAAAGATTTCGAATTTGATGTCGTCTGTGTCATTCGAGGTCATTTTGAGTCGAATTTAGCTTAGGTCAGGTCACTTTTAGGTCAAAAAAGGTCAAATTTTGAAGTTATAATTTTTCAACAAAAAAGGTGTCTATTGGATGCAGTTTGAGCTCAGGAACACGATGGTGCTATTTATATTGGCGTACGATGTCAAATACGTGGTGAAAAATTGATTTGAAAAATTAATATTTGTGAATTTTTTGCAACAATGCGTATAACAGGGCCTCGGCTAACATGTTAACTGGTGGGCCAAGTGGCCCACCAGTGACCCGAAATGGCCCACCAGCCTCAAAGATTTGGCCCACCAGTAATTTTCCGAAAAATCAAAGTTTCCACATTTTTCACATTTCAAATTGAATTAGCAGATCTTATCGTACATTTTCAGGCTGTAAAGTAGGTACCCATCGGTGAAACATATTCTTGTGAAAAAATTCAACCTATTGTTTGCAATATCCTCGTGGGGTAAAAAGTGAACTATAGTGGACTAAGTGGACTAAGCCTCGGTCACACTTCACCAGATTGGACCAATGGACGAGAAACGGACGGCGTCCGGTGATGTCCGGGGGATGTCCGTTCGTTTCCGTTGGACGTCCGTTTCTCATCCGTTCATATCCGTTCCATGTCCGGTGGTGTCCGGTGTGCTCAACCGGACACCACCGGACATGGAACGGATATTAACCCGCGCCCTGCTGGGGGGGGGGGTGTTTGAACACCCCCCCTTATGGTTTTTCGCGAATATCTCAAAAACGGCGGCGCGGAGCGCCGCCGTTTTTGGTACACCTTATCATACATCAATTTGACACATGTTGTGAAAATTTCAGACCAAGGTCATTCAAGGTCAGGTCACCAGGTCACTTGAAGTGACCTCACCTCATAAAAAGTTTCAATGTCTGACATAGCTACACCGAGTGACCGATCGCTTTGAAACTTTCAGCGATTGCTAAGAGCAATAGCATGTACAAAATGTATATCTCAGAATTTTGATATCGATGACCTAAGGTCAGGTCAATTTTGCGACCTCCCCATTATAAGTCAATGGGAGAAAATTGAAATGCGCCTCTTTTGGATGAAAGACATTATAAACACTCCCAAAAACCGAATTACAAGTGGTTTAGACACACTGAACATGAAAATGGTGTCCGTGACCCTTGTTTATGCCCTGAGGTCATCTTAGGTCACGAATGGTATCTAACAGTTTTTCGCAAATAACTTTTGATAGAGGCATGCTAGAGCGATGAAAACGCCTTAGATGTGTTCAGCTCGACGATACGGATCGACTGATATGCAACATGACCCTTTCCGGTCAGGTCATGACCTTGACCTGAGGTCAAATTTTCAAGTTGATCTTTCAAGGTCAAATTATAGTTCATTCGATGCGTCTTGACGAGAGGAACACGATGCCGGTAAAAGTAAGCTCGTACAGGGCTTGGGTCAAAAGTTATTGCAGAAAAACTGTTTCCGAAAAAATCGGTTATTTTTGCAGTTTTTGCCCCCTGCAGGCAAAACCGTTGACGTTAGGTCAAATCTGAGAGAATTACTCAGAAAGGGCGTTAATAGGGCTATCGAATGCGCTTTTCCGCGGCGCTGTAGCTCTATTGGTTCCCGAGTTATGCGTTGGCTTCTTGGAAATTTTCGCCTTTCGACCTGGAAATCGGCGAAATTTTGCCTTCAATGACCTCTGGTGACCTGACCTTTGACCTGACCAAAAAATTGACCGAAGTGATTTCGTCATTATTTTTGACGCTCTTTCGAACGCCGCCTTCCGCGTATCGCTACGTGGCCCAGGAGCCGAGTTACAAGGGGGGGGGGGTGTTCAAACACCCCCCCCCCCCCCAGCAGGGCGTGGAAATCCAGGACCCCCAGCCGGGCGCGGGTTAACGGATGACAAACGGACGTCCAACGGAAACAAACGGACATCACCGGACGCTGACAGTTCTCGTCCGTTTCTCGTCCGTTGGTCCAATCCGGTGAAGTGTGACCGAGGCTTTAAATTTTATGCAATAATCGCGAAAGACGTCTGCCTCTGTCAATTACAGATAGTGTCGGCGGCTTCCAGCCGATCGAGGTCTGCGAGAGTTCTTGCAAGCTTTCCGATCGATCGAGTGGTTGCAGTCACATAAGCATCTGCCGCAGACCAGTCGGTTACAAGAAAAACTACGAATAAAGAACAGACCAGTTCAGACGGTCGGGGATAAGCCTGCGAGCGATCTCAGACGGCTCGCCGATAGACACGATATAAGCCAGAGTCAAACTAGAGGTAGTGTCGGCGACTTCCAGCCGATTGAAGTCTGCAAGCGATATTATGCGTCTTTACGACCGGTATGATGCTTGCAGTCACACATCTGACCAGTTGGACGAATTTCAAACCGTTCACAGTCAGCGTTCCAAAAATTTCTCATTTGGGCTGAAGATGACACTCAAGAATAAGAAGAATGGATAATTTTCCACTCTCACATTTTGGCGGCTCGAATTTTCCACTCAGACACCCAAGAGAAATCTGAAGTTTGGGACACTGTTCACCAGAAGTGAACGTGTACATAACTTAGTTTTTTTTTAAAAGAAAATATCAGGGTTGCGCAGTGCGCTTGGGCTTTTGAGTCAATTATTTTCCATGCGACACCAATAGGCTTAATGATCATTTTCAGAGATGTTGGGGTTGCTGCTACAACCCCCTTTTGGGGTTCCTGCTACAACCCACTTTATATATAAAGTTGCACTCGTGCTGTTCACAATTCCTCCCGATCCACCCAACAACGCCCGATCCCGTCCGACCGCTTCTGAATCTCCGACTAGTCGGCGAGCGATCCACTCACGGCCGTAAGTTATCGTCCAACGTTTTATAATCTGCGTCAATATTGTGTGCATACTTGTGCCACGGAATATATAGTCTACGACATGTTGATATGTCGATATGTACTACGATATGTCGTAGACTATATATTCCGTGCTTGTGCGATTTTATGTGCACCGCGGGAGTATCACCACTGAGAGGGTTGTGGGTCCCTACTCTCTCCTCTCTTTCTCTCTCTGTAGAGTCGGGGGGGGGGTCGAGCCCCGTTTTTTTTTATACATTTTTTGAATGCCATCCTGGCGTTTGATGGCGTTTTTTGCAGAATAAAGTGGCCGAAATCTGGGGAGAAATCGAATATTGGGGGGGGGGGGGGGCTATGGCTACGAAGGTCAGTCCATGTCGCTGCCCAAGTGGCCCACCAGTCAAAATTCCTTAGCCGAGGCCCTGGCGTATAACTTGGCTATTTTTGAAGATATTTAGCTAAAACTTGCTAGAGTTAGTCATAATAACGCGTTCTATCACATATATTCCGGTTTTTTCGAAAAGTCAAAAACTTTTTGAAAAAAATGTAAAAATGTAAATTTTGAAATTTATTATACGAAATTTTCGAAATTTTCAAAATTTCGAAAATCCGAGATAGCAGTTTGATAGCGCAGTCTATTCTGAGTCCTCTCATGCAAAGAAATTGGATCTAGCTTAAAAACTGAGCCCTTGGGAGCGATTGCCGTGGTTCAATGTTTTGCGTCGAAATCGGCCGAACATGACGTCACTCTGACGTCATTTCCGGCCGACCTATGGTAGCTACGAAGTTCAAATTTTGACACAGGGTGTCAAATTGATGCAGCCGAAGGTACCGAAAGTTTGGCGTCGATACGTCAAGCGGTTTGGAAGTTATTGCAGAAAAACGGGAGGGGGGCTATAAATAGCCCCCCCCCCCAGTGGGGCGCGGGTTAAATCACAGTGCACTATGTAGTGGATCTGGGGGAGGGAGGGGGCATAGGGCCGTGCCTCCATCCCCAAATCACCCATTTCTAGTACCTAGTCTTGCGAGTAATTCCTATCTAAGGCACAGGTATTTTATGGGAAATATTTTTTGCCTCAAACACCCCCACATTTAAACCTCTACCCAACCAGTGTTTTATATTTTTAAAACTCGTCCTCAAATACGTAATTTTGCCCTTCCTATGTAGTTAATCAGCGTTTATTATTTTGAGCGTTTAAATTAAAAGCGTTAAAATTATTTCAAGTTTCGATGTAAAGCCCTTGTTAGCAAAGTACATTAAGCCGATGAAGCCGATCTCATAATTTTCAATCGCAACAAACCATTTCAAAGCACTAATCAAACACAATCTGGATTGGATTGCAAAAATTGGAAGTATGATGCAATCCACAATCAAATCCTGTTTTTTGGAATGGATTTCAAATCCAGGTGCAATCCACCAAAAAGGAATGCAATCAGGATTTTGCAATCCTGCAATCACAATCCTATCAATCATTACCGATGCCTGGTATTAACATACCTTCTCCAGATTTTCGTTGTGAGAAGAACACAGTCTTCATCTCCCGTTTGACACCAGTACGATGACGGAATGTTCAGCTCTTCAAAACAGTTCAGTATCGTCATTTTGGCTGCAATCAAACAGGTGGGATGACAGCTCAAGGTCAGGCCTATCAACAAAAGTGGAAATAAGAAAGGTTAATAAGGTTATGAGGTTATAGGTTAAGACTCTGCATCCTCACATGACACAAAACTGCTTAGAAGTGCTTGCCGCTTGGCATTACGAAGCTCTTTGGACTCGGTTCAGTCGGGGTAGGTTTGGTCAATCATTGTCATTTTTAGCACATGTCATTTTTGGCAACCATGTGCCAAAAATGATGTTGCTTTCAATGCTATCAGCTATTTTTGGCAACGATGAACCCAATTTCACTCCTCAGCGAGGAAATCACGATTTTGGAAATACAAGCACTGATTTTGGAAAACAAGTGCTGCCACCTGGTGCAAGAAGAATAAACCAGCTTTAATATGGATGTTGTTTGTATGGTAGTTCAATGTTGACGTATACCCTTTTTTGTGGCCTGAAGTTGGAACTTCAATTTGCAGCATCTGAAAATGATCAACACTGATCGAAAACATAAGTTCGATGAAAAAAGAATATAACAAGTTGAAAGAGGAGGCGATTTCATCCAGATACGGTGGTTTACTTCTTGAAATTATTTTTGTTTATGACGACGGCCATGTAATGACGGATGACAATGATGCGCAGCCGTCAAATAGCAAAAATAATTGTAAGAAGTAAACCACCGCATCTGGATAAAATGACCTCCTCTCTAAGCTTAACATATTATTTTTTCCTCAACATCATGTTTTCCCTTACCTTACCTTACCTTACCTTAGTTGGTCATCGGGTTATAAGGCCACTCGGCCTATGGGTCCCGCTCGTATCGAGTGAAAGGCATAATCGGAGAGGCTATGGTCCTTAGTACAGGGTAGGGATGTCGAACATCACGCTCGACCAGTGCCGGTCCAGCCGCGCCTTGAAAGACGACAGCGACTCAGCAGCGACGACGTCTGTTGGCAGGGCGTTCCAATCGTTGATGATTCTGACGCTGAACGCGTTCCTGCGAGAAAGATGCTTGGCGTTTGGTTTCCTCAGCTTCCACTGGTGGCCTCGCGTGTTTTGCGCTTCGTGTCTCGTCAGCAGTGACTCAAGCGGCACATCCAGAAGTCCGTGGAAGAGCTGGTACACGGTCACCATATCTCCACGACGACGGCGGTAGTGCAGCGATGGGAGGCCGAGGCGGCGAAGCCTGTCAGGGTACGGCAGGTCTCTGAGGTCCATGATCAGGCGGGTCGCGCGTCGCTGCACCCTCTCCAGTCTCTTCTGGTCTTCTTTGGAGAATGGACCCCAGATGGCGTTCCCAAACTCGAGGAAGGGTCGGACTAAGGCCTTGAAAAGAAGAGGCAAAGTGAACTCATCCAGGTTCGCAAACGACCGACGGATCACTGCGAATATCTGTGAAGCCTTGGCGACGGCAGCGGCTGTCTGCTTGTGGAATCTTAGCTGCCTGTCGATGATAATACCTAGGTCTCGTTCCTCCTCGCAGGTGGCGACAGCAGTTCCATTCAAGTGGTACGTGCGGTCACGGTTGTGGAAGCCTAGGTGCATGGTCTTGCACTTCGCACCATTGAAGGGGAGCAGCCATGTCTCCGACCAGCGGACCAGAGCGTCGATGTCGTCCTGCAGCCCATCGTGGTTGGCAGTCATCTTGCAGTACAGCTTGGTATCGTCTGCGAACATCTTCACTGTGTTGGTGACCTGTGCTGGCATGTCGTTCACATACACTGTGAAAAGTGCAGGACCGAGGACGGTGCCTTGCGGAATGCCGCTTGTTACTGGAGCCCAGGCTGACTTGCATCCCCGAACAACCACCCTTTGAAGGCGCTCAAACAGGAAGGCCTGGATCCAGTTCAGGAGTCGACCCGACACACCATAAGACCTCAACTTGCCTAGGAGTCGCTTGTGTGGTACCGAATCGAATGCCTTGGCGAAGTCTAAGTACGCCACATCAACAGGTACTCCCTCTTCCATGGCAGCAGTCCAGTCCTCAATCACCCCCAGGAGCTGTGAGGTGCATGACCTTTTGGGGAGAAACCCATGCTGAGCCTGATGTAGCTGGCCAGTTGAGGTTAGGTGTGCAAGTAGGCTGTCCCTTACCAGTGACTCAAGCACTTTGCACGGCACTGCAGTGAGACTCACGGGTCTGTAGCTTGTTGGCTCCTGACGATCTCCTTTTTTGAAGATGGGCGTTATCTCCCCTGTCTTCCACTCTGCGGGTAGACATCCAGAGTCCAGAGATTTCCTGAAGAGGAGACTGAGGGGGTGAGATAAGACGCGCGCAGAGTTACGAAGTACACTGGGTCGGATACTGTCAGGCCCTGGGGAGCTTCGTGGGTTTAGTGCAGCCAGTTTTGCTTCAACCTTCTGGGGAGACACATCGACATCTTCCAGTGACGGACCGTTGAAGCTGCCGTCTAGAGTCGGTGTAGTGCCAGGTCCTTCAACCGTGAAGACACTGCCAAAGAAACTGTTCAAGATGTTTGCAATCTTCTGGCTATCTGAGACAACAGAGCCGTCTTTGTCCTTCATGGTTGCAAGATGGCTTCTGGTCCGGAGTCTGGTGTTGGTGTACCTCCAGAATCCTTTTGGGTTGTGCTTTAGGTCTGCAGCAAGTTTCCTCTCATAATCCTTGCGAAGACTCCTGGTCAGCCTCCTCAGCTCATTGCTGCAGCGCTTGAAGCGGGCGTGGTCAAGCAGGCTCTGGGTACGACAGTAGGTGCTCCAAAGCAACTTCTTCTTTTTCCTCAGCTGGAAAGCCTGGCGATTCATGTAGAAGTTCACATTTGCATGTTTCTTCCTCTTGGATGAGCATGATTGGATGGCATTCACAAGCTGTGTTTTGAAGAATGCATAGGCGCCGTCCAGATCCATGGCAGCCATCGGAGACCAATCAACATCTTGAAGAACGCTAGATAGCCGGTTGAAGTTAATGCGGTCAGAGCAAATCCTGGTGTAAGCACCTGCTAATGGGGAGCAGGTGACCGTAAACTGCAGCATCACATGGTCGCTACTTCCAAGTCCCGGAAGATATTCCAGCCCCTTCACCATGCCTTCTTCTTTGGAGAAGATCAGGTCCAGGATGCTGGGAGCTTCACCATGTCGATAACGAGTTGGGTGGAGGACATGCTGAAAGAGGAAGCAGTCCTGGATGGTGTCAATAAATGAATGGCAACTGTGACCTGCAGGAGCCGGAGAGCTTTGTGTCGACCAGTCAATCTGGGGGAGATTGAAGTCACCCACGAACACTATGTGTGAGAAGGTCTCGGAACATGCTTGACGGATGAGTTGGTTCATCTGGTTGATACTGTCTTCAGCGGAGCCGGATGGGCTGCGGTACAAACATCCAATGAGTAGGCAGTCACCTCCCCTTAGTGACAGTGACACCCATACATTTTCAGTGGTTGAAGCATCAAAAAAGACTTCGCTCACTTTAAGGTGCTCTGCGGCATATACACAGATGCCTCGGATGCCACTGCTCCCTAGGTTCGAGGTCAGGGGAGTAAAGTTATGATGCACTGAGTACCCTGGGATCTGAAGTAGTGCTGGGTCAATGGGTAGTCTCTGGGCCTTGGGTATGACTTCAGTCAGAAGAATCAAGTCCGGTTCCTTGTTGCATATCAACATACACAAGTCATCTCTTTTGTTGATGAACTGATCACAGTTGGTGTACAGAACAGTCAGGTCTTCCTTTGCTGACTTAACATCTTTGGGGTGCACTCTTAGTCATTCAGCTGCTCTGTACGCAGACTGGTTTGACTGAGAACGGCTCCCACGAGTGTCTTCAACTGGCTGGTGCAGGTTACCCTCCTCCTCCCGGGTCCCAGTGTTCCCGAGGCTCCTCCCTCCATGTTGCCCTTCAGCCCGCTGGCTACCTGCCTCTTCTTGACGTGGGGCACGGGTGATCTTGCCATTTCTGATCACCAAGTTTGTTTCACCAGCCCCTCTTCGAGCTGCCAATTCTTCACGGAGCTTCCTGTTGGTCTCTCTTTCCTTCTGGGTTAGGTCTGGCGTTAAATAAATGTTAGAGTACTCCCCAGAGTTTCTCAGCCAGGATGCTCCTCTCAGGATATCAGCTCGGCATGCTGGATTGTCAAGGGTCAGGATAACCAGTCTAGGTTTACCCTGCAACCTTCTTCCGGCTCTGAAGGATTTAGAAGCTGATACGCTTATTTTCATCACATCCTTGATCATCTTCAGGATTGCCAGCCTATCCTTCTCTGCCCGCTCGTTCATTGGACCTTCCTCGGGCTCTGGTAGGTTGTGCACGACAATGTTGGCTTTGCGTCTCTCCCTGTCCCAGTGGTCATCCAAAGCCTTTGTCAGATCCAGGGCTGAGTGTTGTGTGCTTTCATTACCTTTTGGGAGTGAGCTCAGCTGGGTTTTCACCGCTTCAACAACCTCCTTGCAGGTGCCCTTCACAGCATCTGCATAGGAAGGTCCTGCTGAGTTTGCATGCGCCTCGACTGCTCTCACCTGATCTGCCACACGCTTACCATATGCATCTAGTGCTTTTTCCATGTTGATGGCCTGGTTCCTTAGCATCTCTTCTTGGCTTTGGACAGACTTTGTGATGTGCTCGATGTGGTTCTGGACTTTTGCTTCAAGCTGAGCGAACCTACCTTCGAGCGAAGCAGCAAAGACAGGGCGGGGTTTTCTAGTCTTTAAACTCTCTTTGCAATCCGTGCACAGCCATGCGAGACACTCAAACCTGTCAAGTGCTTTCAACGCTGGTTTTGAGATGCCTTGACATGCAGCGTGAAACCATAAGTGACATCTATCACATTTGACACCGTCTTCGCCCTCTTTTACTGGGTTCCCGCAGGTTTTTAGATTAGGGCCACCCTTGCATATCGCCTCCTCGCTACCCGTGTCGCTGGATGAGCGAGAAAGTGAACCAACAGAGCTTTGGCCAAACGCTTTATACACGCTGTCGTCTAGCTTACCGATTTCTCTTTGATGCATAGCTGGTCTTACCGGATCGTGTTTTCCTCCTTGATCGGCTTCGGTTATGTCTTCCTCACTATCACCATCACCGCCCTTATCATCACAAGTTTCATCGAAAATCGACTCAGTTTTCCCACCTGCGTCGCCTCCAGCTCCGTTCGCTCCGTTTCCACCTTTGACCTTGGGTTTCTTTGTTGGGGGTGGGTTTGGCGCGCGATCGTCAGCTGATTCAGCCTGCGTCCCCGGCGTCTTGCTTGTGTTTCGACGCGGTAATTTCGGAGATCGAGGGACTGGCATTCTTGATCAACAATTTGGTATTTTTACTTTCTTTTGATGTCGTATCTTCCAAAGAGTGGTAGGGAAGTTATGACAAAAGGGATTTCCAGGCGATACCAACTGGTCAGGATTTGAGCTATCAGCTGATCACAGGCCAGGACCGAGGACGGGTGAGGAGCTCGATCGAGCACGTCCGACCACGAGCGCCCGATTTTCGATCAATATCGACCACGTTTGACCAACCAAACCTCCCCCGACTGCCGACTGGGTTGGCACCTGGCCTGGCAGGCATTCCGATTCACAATTCAGCAAAATGCTGGTAAGAGCTGCTAATTTGAATGAGCAAAACCATGCGAATTGACACAATTAAAAACATCAACATAAATTCTTCAAAATTTAACACTTTTTCTTCTTCGTGGATTAGGGCGCGTAGCCGTCAGTCAAAATTTAACACAAAATAACGATTTAAGCACCTACCTACCATTATGCAAGCGTTTGTTGACATCAAAATAGACAGAAACGACGCATAAAATACAAAATAGATGTCCAGTCTATTTAGCTGCAATTTCTTGTTAGCGCACTGCCCATCACGAGACATATTGAAATATTGATATTCAACCCAGAATTTGCACACATCTAGTAGGGGCCACAATATCGATACACGCCACAAATTTATTTGGTAAAAGGTCCAGACGTAAATATGCCCCGTGAACACCCCTCTGGTTTATATAGCCTTGGGCGCGCCCAAGGCGCGCCGACGATGGTGGAAGAGCAATACTGAAAAGACTAGGAAATTCTGACATTCGATAATTTCCTCAAAATTTTTGTTTATACCACACCATTCTAAAGTTTTAAATTTGTATGTATTTTTATGCTGTTTAATAAAATAACATTTATTTCATGCATAAGCGCTCAACAGTTGAACAGCACTAGGAGCTCCACTGGTTTCCGCTTCCGCGTTGTTCAAGGCCGCGTTCGAGGCGCGGGGTGCTATTAGTGAGTGACGGTGTGGTGGGAAAGGGGAAAGGTTGGCGAATAAATTGAAGCGAAGAAGTGGATAAGTGCAGGTACTTGCCCTGGATCTGAATTGGGATGGGCCCGTCGCGCGGTCACCAGCGTATTCTGGTGACTGTGGCCGTACTCATACTGGTACTACTGGTGGCCTTGGCCGTTGTGGTGCACCAGTTCTGGCGACTGGTGGTGCGGTTTGACCACCAGCTGGTGCGGGTGGAAGGGCTCCTGCAGGATGCCGAAAAAAAACTCAAGAAAGTAAACGCCACTCAACAGCTCCACACGGTCGGCGACGCCTCCTCGTACCGCGCTCAGCTGACCCATGTGCAGACGGCGCAGGCGCAGCCGGCGGCCCCCAGACAGCCGGGCCCCGCCGACTCCGGCCCCGCCGCTGCTGCAGCCGTCCCCGGAGGCGGCAGAGGGGGCCGGAGTGCTGGCGGCGGAGGGGGCCGGAGTGCTGGCGCCGCCTCACCAGCTTCCTGAGCGGCAGGAGGAGAAAGAGGAGGACTCCTCCTCTCTCTCTCTCCTGAGGAGAGAGAGCGAGAAGCTGTCCTATTGACGGGGAGGTGAGCTGTCCGGCCCGGAGATGGTGGGCGCTGTACCGCCGCCGGACCTCACCGGTGGAGTCCAGCCGCATCTGCCGCTCCGATAAACTCCCAAGTCCCAGCAACCAAAAATCGGTGCAGTGTTCCGTGATATCGATGTTGTTGAGTGGTGTGAAGTGTTATACAGGGTGATCCAAAAAAATTGGAACCCCTAACTTAAAATGTCCGTAAGTCCGAAAGTTTTCACTTTATTGACAAATTGCAATCATTATTAGAAAGAGCGTTCAATTCTCTATAAAACCAAGTTAATTGAACTTAACTATTACTATAAATATTACCCTAGTTATATGCCTATAAAATTTGTGTCACGAAACTCAGTGAAACGGTTTTCAACATTATCCGCAAATCAGTGATTTGCGGTTTGCTGTTCTGACTATGTCGCATGTCGGAGGTTAATGAATAAAAATAGCTCATTCACGTGCTATTGTAATGAATTTAAATTTCAGCAGGAGCAAAAAAAAAAATGTAATTCGGTGCTCCGTGCCACACGGCCCACTCAGTGGTCGAGTTTCAGGAACAGGCCTGCCCGGCCTTCATCGAGCCAGATGCCTGGCCACCGAAGAGTCCTGTCCTCAGCCCTTTTAACTTATTCGTGTGGAGCGAACTGGAGCGAATGGTGTACAGAGGTCAAGAGGATCAGCACCATCGAGGAGCTGAAGGAAAGGCTGACGGCCTGCTGGGATCAGTTGTCCCAGAGACTGCTGGCCCGCGCAGTTGAAGCCGTCCGCAAGCGACTGCAGGCCTGCGTGACGGCCCACGGAGCTCGGTTTGAGTTGGGTTTGAGCACATACTGAGATGAACAGCGGGAGCTTGGATGCGTGTATCTGTTTTATTGTGTGCTTCTGCGTAAACTTTTATGTAATAAAATTGAATGTGGATGTGGTATTATTCATAAAAAAACAACAGATGGAGTGCTAACGGATTTCAGTGCATTGTTAACAATTGGCGATTTCGTTTCACTCAGTTTTCTGACGCTCATTCCGAAACCTTACAGTGTGTCAATACTTTACAGGATACATGCACCAACTTGACATGATTTTATAGAGGATTTAATGCTCTTTCTAATGGTGTTTGCAATTTGTCAATAAAATGAATACTTTTGGACTTACATACATTTTAACTTAGGGGTTCCAAATTTTTTGGATCACCCTGTATGTCCGTCGCTTTCTTATAATAGACTACTCACTTATTTGAGATGACGTGAATGAATAAAGTTGTTTGCATTGGTATTAAAGAAAAAAAATATGTGGTAAAATAAAAAGGACGCCATTTAATTGCGTCCCAGAAAAGCTATTTCTGGCACCTAAAAGCTGACTCGCTCCAAAATTGGTCCTCAGCACCTATTTGGTGGATACCAGCACCAATCATGGAAAATGACCTTAATTAGCTGTTTCTGGCACCTATTCATCGGTACGCCTTACTCTTTTTTCTGAATCTGGCACCTAAATGCTGAGCGTAGCACCAATCTAGTAGAAAAATGAACTACTGGCTGGTAGAATCATGTTGTTCTGGTATAATGACCCCTGGAGTCTAGCCTAAAGGTTGCCAGTGCAGCTACACTCTAAGACAGCCCCGTAGTGATCTCAGCATTGTATATGACGTTTAAGTAAGCAAATAATATTGATTTGTTTGAAAAAACAATGTCATTTAAATATTTAAAAGTATTTATTTGTAATGCTTAAAGGGAAACATTTTTGTGAGTAATTGTCTCGATTTTGACCATTAAAACGGGTATTGTATTTTTTGACGTCATCAAATAGCTCCAAAAAAGAAATGTAATGTTTTCATTCCGTTCAAGGCCGCTGCAGAAACGCGGGATCTTGCGTGGGACATTTGTCCGTTGTTTGCCGCGCAGAGTTGTGCCGTGGTTGTGCCTTTTTCATCCGTTTCTTACTTATGTGTGCATGAAGCTTTGATTTTGTTTTTGGTTATTGTGTGGCCGGTCAGTCAAACGCCCCTGTAGAAACCGGACGCTGCGTTTGATCGAGATGGAGTCAGACGATGATTGCAGAAAGCCAGAAAGCTAATAGGTAATATTGAAAAGAGGGCCGGTTGCGTGGCATGTCTGTTCAGAGTTGACATTTTGCTTTACTCCAGTTTATGACCTGAGAGCCTGGCTGGAAGTGACGGATCCAAACTTTTCACGTTAAAATGGCTGAGGGTGCAATAATCTCTACATAGCGGGCTGGTATAGGAGCGTCTTGCTATGCTGCACCATAGCTGGCTAGTGATTCTCTTTTGGCTAGAAATGGCATTAATCATTATCTCCACTGGCGAAAATGGCACTTGACATCACCGAATGCAACGTTCATGTTTGTTAGGATACATAAAATCAGGAAGATTACGCGAATTAGGTAGGCAAACGTGGAATAAAATAGGTGCTGGATGTTTTGGTTTTGGTGCTGAATCAGCAAACAGCAAATACGGAGTTCAACTAGACGATCTGGCAACTTTAGGCTGTGTGGAAGCAATTAGGTGCCAGATTCAGATATTAGGGTCGAATAAGCATTTTGGGGCTGATCAGCAATTAGGTGCCAGAAACAGCTTTTTAGGGACCAGAAACAAATATTCCCCAAATAAAAATGTAATATTTTCTTCACGCGAGAAAACTCCAAGTTTCATTTGTTTCAGGGTTTCCTACATAGGCGGCGGAACGGGGAGGGCACCGGGGCACCGTGCCCCCCTTTGATTTTGGCATTTTAACACTAGCTCTATGGGCGTTGCATGGAAAGAATGGGACTAAAAGTCGTCAGTGCCCCTCTAAGGTGTTCCGCCGCTACTGGTTTCCTACGCATAAGATCAAAAGAACCCCAGCATAGGTATATTCAGCGCAATACAATGAGCTTAGATTTGGATAAACGTTATCTAAATCAGGGTCTATGTCCCGGAAGAGCTCATTCAAGGCTCATTTATTGCGCACTGTCTTAAGCCATGCGAACATTATGTATAGCTGGGGAACGACAAATACCTGTGCATATCCCGTCTACAAGCAGAGGATTCGGCTTGCCTCTCTCCTTTTCATCTCACTCTACATTATCTGTGCTCTGAGACAAACGCGCAGAAGTCCCGAACCCAACTGTGTATTTGACGCCGACACAAACACAACTCGGGCATGTAAAAAGACACAACCCAGCCTTAGGTCCATTGCCCGAGGCCAGGTCAGACCACGCTGGCTCACAGTCGCCGGGGCGCGGAACACAGGTACAAGGACAGCTCAATCTGATATTACATTTTCCATTATCCCGTACACTTCATCAACAGGCACATTGTCAGCTTGCAAGCTGAATGGCGCCATGACGTGACGGGGATGTTGCCGCACCGCGCAGGGTGAGTACAGCTGTGCTAGTGATCTGTCACAGTTCACACAGTAACAACGTCTACATCACGGGCATGCATACAGTGCGGCGCTACGGCAGATAGTGGCAACAACGAATTCATACAGATTCATACGCAGCGAATAACATAACATTGCACATAAGAAACAAAGTTACCAATCAAGGCCGCATAATAATGCGACCTTTCCAGGCTTATTGGAGAAAATAACCATAATGATAGCACAGTGACAATTCAGTGATTATGCAGCATAAGCATCAATTATGCGGCGTTAGGGGCGGTTACGCAGTAGAAGTATATTACGCAGGAATAGTACGGTAGTCCGACTACTATTGGGCCACAAGTGGTCCGGCTTACACTAAATTCAAGTGGCCCAGCTTACCCCAGACATCGATTTGGGAAATATCATGGCTAATGGCGATTTTCCCAAGCAGTCGGAGTGCGCGGAAATGATCAGCTCACAAAAGTAACGCGGCTATTGTAATCTTACCACCTTAATCTTCACACCAAGTGTTAATTATAATAAGGCCAATGAAACAGTTGAATATTATGCCTAGTTGACTTATTATTAAGCACCAAGAACGAGCACGTTGACAGTATATTTTGAACAAATAGTTAATTCATTGAATGGGTGCGGTAGTTAGCAAGCCGATTGGCTTCATTTAAACCCAGTGGTCCGAATTACCCTACCTCTCTCTGTAATCTTGTAAGTGTTGCGATCACAATAAGTGCGCTCTAGTCTATAGGTACATATGTGAATACACCAGCCTTACGCACAAAATATAGCATCTACTATCTGTGGCTATCTACCTCCTTACAGAATTTTAGTACATATTTCATTCACATACATCAGCGCAGCACACATAACAAAGCACTCAGCAGCTAACAAAGATTAGGTCGAAACAGTCGTCTTAAAAGCCTTCAGCTACAGCCTTGTAGATTACGTATGCACCTTTAACTCCTGCTTTACCGCCAGACAATAATTAAAAATACGTTCGTGCCTGGGAATGATTAACAACCCAACACAACGCTTTCGCGCTATGCGTTAACGATTAAGATTTCGGGCAGCTCTTGACAAAATGTCTGAGAACTAAGAATTGTTTTTCAGTAGAGAAACAAAATTGTAGCGAATAGTGTTTTTAGCTATTGAACACAAACCTTCGGTCAACATGTCAAGGTGACGAATGACACTACACGACCATGTCACGACTGATGTGTTACGATCAAGAAGTTTTTCCCTGCGGGCGGTGCGCCTTCTTATGCATGTACAGGGAGCGCGGATGGCTGAAGGTTTTACCACAGATGTCACAGCTGACCTCCTGGTCCTTGGTGTGCGTGGCGATGTGTACGGCCAAAAAACGTTTTGTTGTGAACGACCGTCCGCACGTGCCGCAGGCGAACGGTTTCGGTGACGTGGCGTGCACGATACCCATGTGCTTGTTCAGTCCGCCGCGACTGGTGAATTCCTTGGAGCATATATCACACTTTGTAGGCCCCCCGTCGGAGTGTCGCCGAAAAATGTGTCTGTCCAGCTTGCTTTTGCATGGGAACGAGTCGCCGCACTTTTCACATCGAAATCGCCCTGAGTGACACCTCATGTGCGCATTGAGCTTAATGATGTGCGGGAAAGTTTTGTCACAAAGTTTACACGCCACAGTCATTTCGCCTGAATGAGTAGCCTGGTGTGCTCGTAGGTAGCTCTTTGTAGCAAAAACCTTGTCGCACACATCACAACGAACCGGCTCCGGTTTACCATTACTTAGCCACGGTTTCGGCCCTCCAAAGTGTTTGTGCCTGACATGTTTATTTCGACTGCTGAGTTGAGTGAACGTCTGTCCACAGTACTTACAGTTGAACGGCTGTTCGCCCGTATGCGTGCGCCGGTGCTTCTCTAGCCAGCTACGGCACTTGAACACCTGGTCGCACGAGGGGCAGGGGAAAGATTTCGGAGAGCGTTTGCGGCGTCTTCTTTTGGGTCGTTCCGCAGCGTTTTCAGGACTCTGAGATGCTTCCCGTGGTGAGCAGGCTTCGGCGTCGACGGAAGCTGATGGTGATTCGGATTTTATGATTTTACGGCCAGTTACAGAGCGACTGGCTGTGCAGGATCGCCCATCGCGGCGCTTCCCGCGCTGGTCATCTGAACAGCTATCAGATGGACTATCGGCGGGACTCTCGGCCGGACTCCAGGCTGGACTCGCAGCTCGACTCTCGGTTGGACTCTCGTCGGGAGGAGGTGACAACTCAGGCTTGAAGTCTGTGACCAGGAGAAGATCCTCAGGCTCCTCCTTCACAACTTCAAATAGGTCTGGTTCAGGTTTTATTGCCTCCACAACTTCGAACTGGCCTGGCTCAGGTTTTATTGCCAGCGGATCATCTGGAAGAATGCAAGCAAGAAAAGGCTATCAAATGCAGCCATCATTACACACACAAGTCCTATAAGAGGAGGGATCATTTAATATCGTCTTGGATAATGAGGATTCTGAGGAAAATAAAACATTTTGAGATAATGATTTCCAATATTTATATGTCTTTTTCACTTGAAAGCAATGTTTATCTTAAAATTCATGCTAGCGCACCATAAATTGCCAACCATTACAGCCCACAAACAGCTGATTTCCTCTCAGAAATATTCCTGAGGCTCCTCTAAAATGGCTGTCCTCGAAGCTCATCCAACCTCCTTAGATTTTTTTTAGATCTAACACTGGAACATACCCAATGCCTAAAAAAGATAGGAAGGTAGGTAACCTGAAACAGAGTGATTGATGGTGATGTGGAATGATGTCAGAATGACCATGCTAGTAATACTTTCATGGCCTAGCTCAGGTGGGGAAACTACGAGGAGCCAAACACAAATTGGATTAGCCAATCAACGGCTGCAGTGGGCGGGGTGATGACCATATATGGTCATAAAATCAGACTTCATCTTTTCAATGCATCCTAGCATTCAAATGAAAAAAATAAGCCAAAAGAATGTTTTTTTAACCACACAAGGCCTACACTCACTCGGTGCACAATTAACTGGCGGCTCTAAATCGCAGAGTTACAACACAAAGTCAAACAGTGGTTGGCAAATACCTACGGCGGATTGAAACAGACGAGCCAAAAAATATAAAAGATAACTTGGTTTTAACATGTTATTATTCTTATTAGTATTGTTTATGGTTTTTCTTATTTTGGTTAAGTTATTATTTAAAAATTAAATATCTTTGTTTATTGAAACTAAATTAAAGCTTTTAACAATTTTTGTTCAAAACACCAATCCATTTATTGAACGTCCAGCTGATCGTGACGCCCGGAACCTGCAGGAAAGCCGTTTTCCTATCGCCATTTTTGAGTCAATTCGCTGAATTTAATCAAATAATGCTAATTCCTAGTGGAAAATGGAAGCCTTTTCTCTCCGATAGGTGGACGCGATACCGGAAGTACCGGCTTGTTATACCGTTTTCACCCTTAGTAGCGGGGGCTGCATTTATGCCCATATATGGTCATATATGGTCCATGTATTGACCAATCAATTTTTATCTTCGCCTCGTAGTTTCCCCAACTGAGCTTTTGTTATTGGCTTCCATGTTGAGCACATTCAGAAGCTTTAAATATTGAATCATATATCTGAATATAAGTATTTTTCTTCTCGCTGATATTATGTGAGAAAGCATGAATTCAAAATGTTTAAGTAGTTGGAAAATTCACTAGAAATACAGCCACTTTGACTCGTGAGACGATCGTGAAGTAATGAGCCATGTCTTTGACATCTTTGAAAAAGTTACAGTGGAAAATAGCACGTACCTAAATCAGTTTCAATGTGGCACATCATTTTAAATAGGGATCACTGTTCTAATTATGCTAATTATACTAATTTTTTGACAGAGTAGTACAAGCAGGCCGCAGGGGCAACTCCATTACAGAATTCAGTAAGCAACTCCAACAAAATCAGTCTGCGCAAGTTTTGCATCAAGTGTGTCACGTACGTCTCGCAACTTGTGCTTCCAAATCTGCTTCCACTTCTTCTAATTCCCCTTGACAGTGGTAAAGAAATTCCTGCTGCGAGGGATTAGACCAAGGATTAGACCACTGAACTCTATAATGGATTAGACCAAGATTGAACTGAAAGTTTCAAAATGTTTGAAACCTTGGAAATATTAAAGCCTTACGCCCCACAGTGCTGCTGCAATTGTGGGACCGGAGCTCAGGCGTAGGAACATGACCGCTTGCATTTTCAGCCATTTTTTAGTAAAATATTTATTTTTGATTCAAATACAAAACTGAGCAGGAAATGGTTCAGCAAGGTGAGATGACCACAAAACTGCAAAGAATTTCTTTGTACGGGCATTGGGGCTCCCATTAAGTGAGATTGAAGTTTCGCTGCCCCCCCCCCCCCCCCCACACACACACACTTTCCGTGAGGCTGCTACGCCCATGGACCAGTAAAGTAATCTTGCATGGACCGGAGCGTGTTCCCTGCAGGCTGAGCGTTGTTCCGCTCCCAAACCCCTGACAGCGACATCCTATCGTTAAAAAAGGCACAGTGTAGGGCGTAGGCAGTAGGCACTAGGGCGTATCAGAACTGCACAGACACTGGGCGGCATCAGGGATGTGCCCCCCTCCCCCCCCCCCCCCATCTCAACTTCAATAACCTTCCGCCGCCTCTGGGAGTAAAAACATCACTATCACGTCAAAACTCCGCGCATAAAGGGTCCCGAAAAGTGAAAACATCTACATATCGGTAACCTTGTTTCACCAATGCGATTATCACATAATCGACAGCTTATCCTCCAAAGCATCACTCTATCCAGTAATCACATATATTTTGTGGGTTACATACTGGCCACTTTCTGAGATCAGCCACCATCTTGCCACAGTCCCCCTCTGTCTGTTGCGAGCGATTTGCATCGTGGCGGCACCATCACATCAAACACCCCGTGCTCACGATACAAATACCACCGTGCAAATACCGTCCCGAGTGCGCTCCAACGCCTTTACACCGGCACTTTCCGGAGACAATCTGCAGAGTACATGGACCACAATATAAAGCCCTGTCCGGCGGCATGGGAGGTCCAAACACTCGAGGGTAACATGGTTTCAGTTGGTACAAATTTATGCATCGTGAAGTTAGCGAACGTTTAAAGGGACCCTCCCACCTTCAAAAAAGTTTATGAATTGGCATGAAAGTGATGTCGCTCGGTTCAGAAAGAGCGAAAACGAATATCTTCCAAATTTCACCGAAAAATATTCACCGGTTTTTAAGATATTAGACTTTTACTTTTGTTTACTTTTTTGGGATCTCCGCTGTTTCTAGCGACTTTAATTTAGAAGTACGGCGTTTGCGGCAGATGTTGCGCGCAAATAGCATATACCACCGCATGCTACAAAACGTTTTAGTCAAACATTTAAAAATCGTTAGATATTTGCGCTGACGTCACACATTCAGAGGGGTATTCCCAAGCATTAGCCCCTCTGAATCAAAATGCTGCAATTTTGAAATTCAATATTTCCGATTTAAGGCATTTCTCGATGTTGTGAGTGCCGAAACCGGTAATTGTGAGCCAGGGACCCCATTTTGGCTATCTCAACTCAAATCTAATGTTAAGGTGGGAGGGTCCCTTTAATGGAAGCGCCATCTAGCGGCTTAAGTCCTAAAGTTGCCGAAAATGCACGTCCGATGACAATGACGTTCGTTGATATTCGCATGGTTCGAAATAAGAAAATATTTTTTCTCCTAATTGGAATTGATATAAAAAAGAACGACTATAATATAGTATTTTGACAGACCAAGAATTAACAAAATATGCCTCAAAAACGGTTGCGACTTTAACTTTGTACCATTCCTTCGTTTCTTCTCGTAAAGCAGCTTTGGTTACCAAGAGCTCGTAACGCTCCCCGTCCTATCAAGTGTTTACACCTTCCCGCTATCGGACAGGCCAATGAGATCAGACTCCGTGGGAGCCGACGCTAGCGCCACCTATAACAGACTCAGTCGCCCTGAGCGCCACCTATAATGACTCATACTCCCTGTATTGGGGACTGGTTGGCTGGTGGACGGAAACTGGACGGAAATTGGACGGAACGGTACAATGCCCGTATACCCAAATACGGGCATGACTGCCTCAGCACCCATTGGCGTACAACAGCGCACAATCCTTAGAGCACTCTTGACAATCATCGGCGCGGCAGGCGAAATTGCCCGGAGGCATACCGGACACCAATGTGGGAGCCACCGTAGACTCCGGGGAGCTCGTGTTTCCGCTGACGACAGACGCCACAGACACTAACAAAGCCGTTCAGCCAGGTCGCCATCGCGCTGTAATAGAGACGCGGGCAATACGTGAGGTTAGAGGAAGCGAAATTCACGGCACCTATTCTATTCTATGCAAAATCACTATCAATGCTATTTTCTTCAGAGCCCATTTCCATTAATGGGTTATCAGGCATGTTTAAGAGGAGATTCGTGAATAGCCCCAGGCTACCTGATATAATGAAAAGTCATCGCACAGCTGCTCTTGAACGCATTTGTGAACAAAATTCCGTAGCATGTTACATTCTACAAAGTCGCCTCATGCTCGAAATAGCAAAGTATGCAATTAAAGACTATGATCTCTTTTAGCCGTAAGTTTGCCAACCAGCAGAATGACCTTCCACGGTCAATGTAGTCGTTACTCACCCTGGCCGGGTCACTGCTATCTGTGTGAGCTGCTCTCGCGGCGGCCCGCATCACGCGAAACTGAGTCTGAAACACGGCGGCAGAGGCAGTCGTCAGGATGCTGAAGGAACAGCACACTTTGGCCACAGCAGTCGGGACTTCACAGGTGATTTTTCCTCGAAATGTGGCATGCTTGTGTACAGGCACAACAATGCACACAAATGAGATTTTTCCGTAGAATTTGGCAACATATACCGTTACAGCCCATAGTTGGGTTTGAGATCTTATTGATGAGCGTCGAGCATCGTACCTCTAGTATGTTACGATCGGAAAATAATTTGTGTCCATGCTTACGGTGTGTAATGGCTTTTTTGGTGGATAAATTGATGATCAAGTGAAAAAGGTATACCACAGGTGAATCAGCATTCAGCTACATCACTCGATTTGATGCAAGCATTTGTACCATCACATTATCATGCCGATGTAGTGGAAAACAGGCACTCAACGTCAGTCAGATGCAGCTCTAAATGAAAGCATGAAAAGTGTACAGGGCACTTGGTAAGCAAGGCAGTAGGCAGTAGCAGTACCTTGGATTATCGACTTGCCAGTTACAATCACCAAAAAAAAATACATCAACATTCAACATCATCAAGCACGCAGTCACAAAATGAGATGCGACGATGTAAACCATCGGCTAGAGGAAAATGTTTGCATACAATTGTTCAGTTGCGGTAGAGAATTGTGAACGGTTCACTTGCAGTCACCCAACAACCGTCGGCCAGTTGAAGTGCTATCATCAAATTTCAAAACCAGCGCCAAACTGCATGCAAAGATACGACTGGCACGCCATCTACCTCCTACGGCGACCACGCGTACTGCCATCTACCGGCCGATCCCAGGAGTTATTCCAACTCGAGGTGGCCCGCTTTGGTCCGGCTGCAAGCGGTCAGGAGTGAGAAACAGAGAGAATGACTACGGTATAGGAGCTAGCTAGGTATAGGCTAACATGGCACAGGGGAAAAGACAACCGAACCATTTCATCACTACGCTACGTCTCAGATATACATACAGGGTCATATTTCAAAGCAAAGTTGTCAAAACCACTCCTCTAACACCTTCATCAGTTCCACACTCCACAGCCATCCAGTCCACCAGCAATCACCAGTCCACCAGACATCACCAGTCCACCAGATATGCCCCCCCCCCCCCACAACACAGCGCCCTGCCCCCTTCCGCCATCGGCACTTACCCCAGACCTGGCCGGGCGGCTGGGGCTTGGTCGACCGGTCCGCCGTCACAGTCTTCTGATCCTGTCTACCTGGCCTCGACTCCTGCAGGAAGGAGGGACGTCAGTTCATTCACTCTCAGTTAGTGATAGCCAGGCAGCATACGCACTGCAGGCCCGCAGTGAGCTCAAAGAAACACGAAAGCAAAAGTGTGTAGAAATAAAGAGCCTGAGAAGGGCAGGTAAATGATGGAATGTTTTACATATGGTACTGGCAGAAGTAAATCCAGTCAATCCAATCCCCATCGAACCAGCTCACCCGTTTGTTCTGATGTCGGGACCAGGGCTGGGGAGCCACCTGGCGGGCGGTCTCCGTACTAGGGCTGATCCGCGGCAGGGTGGCCCGACTGGAACACACGGTAGCGGGGCCAGAGGTGTCATAAGTGTATGATTATTGATAGCATGCATACCATAACACTCAGAAGCCATAACACACATTAATGATTGCACAATGCACATAATATATCGACACCTTTTTTAAAACCCCACATCTGCTCTCCCGTGAATTTCCGGGAGCCACGAAAGATCTCCTTTTAAAAGTGTCCAATCGTCCGATCCTGATCAAATATGTGTGTTCGTAGGCCTGTTCTGGTATTGCTTTACCTGCCAAGACAGACAAACTTGAGAAAAATCGAGTGATTGTACCTTTTTTTTAAGTCTCTAACCAACTTGTCTGAAATTCACCGGAGAACAAATGTGGGGCTTTAAAAAAAGGTGTCGATATAGTATATAACTAACGGTGTAAACATCATTGAAATAACAGCAGAAAACAAAGTGTTAAATGGGCCAGTGGGCTTATCCAACGAAAAACTAATAGCACGAAAGCAAGACCTTTCCGTTTGAACGTGAGCACAAACACTCGAAAATTCCTTTAAAAAAAACACACACACACACACTGAGGCCTATACTGAGCTTATCATTCGGGTATCGCATTTACTACAATTTCACGGGTTTTAAACGCGTCGTGCCAGGCAAGCAAGCTGACGTCATAAGCCATTATTGATCGCATGACGCTGGTGATTCACAACGGCGTGTGGCTATCGACATCAATGAACGAATGTCGAATTAATGGCTTTTGCTAATGCTCACTCTATTCACCTCAGCAACAGTGAAGCTGTTGTCAGTTGCCATGGAGACGTAAGGAGTAATTATAATGGTAGTAGCCGCAGCTAGTGCTGTACTAAACCAGAACAGAATGTAAGACACAGAGCATAGATGAGTTACCGGCTGCATACAGTGAGTCGGTACACTGGCCTCCGTACCGGGGGCAATGACTGTCGGAGCCCGGACCTCGACAATGAACATCACACTGATTTTTCGGTACAACACAAGAAGTTCCTATTGGCCTGACTGTCTCCAACCACTGGCGTTTCACCAAGGACGACTGACCACATTCAGAACAGTCTGTCTATAATGTGACCTAAGTGACCACTGACCAGCCCTTGGCCCAGATATTGACGGGGCCGGGGGTCGCTGACCTTGACCCCCGGCCACTGACCGCTGACCCCGCTCACCTGCTCGCCGCCAGCCGGGGCACGGTGGCCTGCTCAGAGGCTACAGCCGCGGGCCCTCCGCGCGGTCTGACGGCCGGCAGCCGGTTGGACGGGGACGGACCACGCCGGCCCGCCCCACCCCTCGTCCGTGCCGCCCCCGCCCCCGGCCCCGCCGCAGGGGCGCGCCGGGGCGCCGCCGGCGGGTCGGCCGGCGGGGGCTGTGGCGGGGGCGGGGGCGGGGGCGGCGGAGCGCGCCCCGGGTCGCTGTGCCGCCGGTTCCGTGCTGAAGTCTCGCGGGAGATGGACGTCAGCTTCATGGCCTCGGCTGACTCTGCGCCCAGCTGTCGGCGAGGACCAGACGGAGTCAAACGGTCAGACAGGCAGTCAGGGGGCGTACAGCAGGACACGCTGTTACAGAGAGGGCATACGGAAAAGGAAGTACACAACAACTATTATTTAAACAGTTTCATAGAAAGATCGTTTAAGAGAAAAGCAAATCACAACTACAGGAGGCATGCTTTTGAGTAAAATATGAAAAGGAAGTAGGCATTGGAACTAACCAAGTTAGAATTAAAATAGGAACGATATATCCACACGAGTAACTATAGCTCCAAAACCTCGCAAAACAAGCACCGCCCGTCATCACCCACTCTTCTGGTCTTATTATATCATCTCTCAAATAAGTCTCACCTATACCTCAAACCCTCCTTCTCTCCCTAATTACTCCTCTCCCTCCCGTTGACTCCCTTTACCGTCCTGGCTCGCGCCCCTCTCTCGCGACCGCTGCTCACCTGAAATACCGGCGTCATCGTTCTTACATAGTCCGCCCACAGTTGCGACACCAGACTGTTGGTCACCATCTCTGCTATGAGTGCCGCCGGGTCCTGGATCACCTCCGCCGAGCCGCCCACGCCGCCGCCGCCGCCGGTCGGGCGGTCAGCGGGGGCGGGAGCGGGGGCGGCGGGGCTGAGCCCGTGCGAGCAGATCGTCTCCGGCTGGCCCGGGTGGCGGAGACAGGCGGCCGTCTCCTCGCTGAGGGGAGACACACGGGTGAGAACGGAGCACTACGGTAGAGAAAAGAAGTAGTGGGGTAAATACACAGAACTGCGCCACAGGCATGTTATACGGGTAACACATTTACAAAGGCTGATTGGGCACCCGGTTAGCTTACCTACCATGAAATATCGACCGTACACCAAAACAAATTTTCAAACATCTTCGTTCCCATCAGAAAGGTAACAACTATAAGCATCGTATCAACAAAACAGTATCAGCGATTTCAAATGACGTGGAGCGTCACTGCCCCTCTGTGATATACTCACTCGACGGGTCCCTCCTCTGTGAGAAGCGCCACCCGCACCACGGCACGTTCGGCCGGCCGGCTGGGCAGCACAGTAAGCCGCCTGCCCACCACCCTGCCAACAGAGCATGGTAATCGTGAATAAACAATGGACCATCGCGCATGGAGGATCGAGAGCAGGCTTAGGGTTGTCCAGTTGAAGTCACGTACACCCGTTGGATTTTATCTGAGGGTTTATGAGACGCAGATAGATGGCGATACGGTAAACGTTGGTCTAACGCAGCCCGCTTGCCAATTGTCGATATCACTCCAAATTAAAATCCACCGTGTCCAGCTGACAAAGCAATATGACACGCTATCCACGTACTGGATAGAGTGGAGATTGGGTCGGATCAGTTTTTTGCGAGATAATTTGATCCACAGTTGTAATTAGACGCGGAGATCGTTTGTAAAAAAGTATATATTATAAAAGGAGGTGTGGGAGCCGTACTTCTGCCCACAGGGCAGCTAGTTAGACTCTCTGACTACCTAACTCGGGTGTGGGAACCAGACTCCAGACTGCCTATCTCGCGGTACGGAATCGCTCACGCCACACTGCCTCCTGAGGTGCATGAAGCGCGTGCTCCAGGGGCGGGCACATACCTGAACTGTGGGAGCCGTTTGATCCAAGGCTCAACTGAGATGGGAGAACTCATTACACCGTGGCACGTACCTTAGGTGTGGGAACTCCTTACACCATGACACATGCCTGAGGTAAGATAACTCTTTACACCATAGCACCACGTACCTGAGTTGGGGGAACCATTTGCTCCAGGGCTCATACCTGAAGTATGGGAACTCTTTACATCTCCATGGCACATACATGAGGTGGGGACAACCTTTTCTCCATGGCACGTACCTGAGGTGGGGGAAGCGTTTGCTCCAGAGTCGGCACTCGTCGGCCAGTGCCGGCGACATGGTCTCACTGGTCTCTCCGTCATAGAGGAGACGATCCACGTCCTCCAGCATGTGCTGCACCTCACGCGTTGACTGGCGCTCAAACTCCTGCGGAGGGGAAGAGTGGTGAGAGACACAGGGGAGAGGACCAGAGACGGGGAAGGCGAGGGGACGGCAATACCAATCTCCTTGATCAGGAGAGTCAATAGCAAAAAATAACCATTTTGCATACGTGGTGACCTGACATAATTTTCAGCGACTGAAAATTATGATCGACAACAAATCACCCACGCCATTGTCTCGTAAGAATGAAGTATGTTCGAGCACGTTACGTATTAACATGCAGAATGAAGACATCAGACGCACTGACACCAATGCTACAAAGGTGCTCGAGTAGCAATATCACCACACATCGTCCCAAGAGAAGCAGGAAGAAACTTACAAACGCAATGCATGCCCATACAAAGCCCATACAACGCCCCCACAAACAAAACAACAAGCAGCTGCCAACCAACTCACGTCATCTCCCCAAGAGAGCAGAGACAGAACAGACTGCGTCCGCGGCGGCTCCACCGAGTCCCAGTCGCCGTCAAAGGGGGGAGAGCTGAAACGGTAGGAGCGGCCGTCAGTCCCAGACTCCACCCGGCAGCAGAGGCGTCCGTACAACGGTGAACTTAATTAGGATGCTGGGTGCCGGCACAATGCTGGGCGCTGCAGCATCCATCAGTGCAAGTAGCTAAATAGCTAGTCAATGAGGCTCAACAGATTATTGGGTGAAAGCTGTTAGAGGTGATGCCCTCCAAAGTTTCAGACACAAAGGGTGGGACAACCAGGATACCTATAAGAAACAGACTGACAAATTCCCAGGTGGCGAGTTTAAGCAGTATTCGAAAGAGCCTAAGTGCCGACACTTGCAGGCTAACCAGAATGAGATATGAGCACCATAGCCAATCTAGCTCTGTTCACGTCTTCCTAGATCAGTCTCAGACCACTGGGCATCCACATTCCGCAGCCGGGCGCGGCTGCCACCCTGCCGCTCACCCGATGTCATCGCGGAGGAACCCGAGCCCCGAGTCGTCGGGCTCGTCGTCGGGCGGAGGCAGCGAGATTCCCAGCTTCTCCACACTGTTGGAATGTGATGGTCAAAGTCAGAAAATAATTATAATTTATAGCTGGCACCAAAGAAAAGATCTGATGCCTGCATTATTCACTTAATAGCTATTTAAAAATAACAGTCCATTCTCAAACTTCTGAGAAGTAACAAATCAATCAAAAATGAATACAAGTAACTGACACACTTAATGCTACAACATTCCTTTATGATGTAGTCAGAAGCAAACAAGTATCAACTAATGTGTCAGCTCAAAGGGAAAGGTGCAGATATTTGTGGCAGATGAAAACCCAAGCTCTACTTCAAGATACATCAAAATGCATAATTGTAAGAAAATAGAGAATTATTACTCACTTTCTCCTGGAAAATGGCATTTTGTTTTTTAGCAGAGCTTATTTAAGTAGTCTGCTAATTGCAAAGAAATGCAGAGCTAGCCATAGGTACAAGTATATCAAGCTGATCCTGAAAAAGAATAAAATTAGAGATTAAATGCTTAGTACCTATACCCAAGCAGTCATGAAAATATGCTTCCTTATTACCATTGGTAATGGTAGCGCTGTCAATATACCTACAATACACCTACCTTGACTGTTTACTCCACCAAAGCTATCGGTGACGACTGACGCCTGCGCTACAGTTACCCCATAATCTACAACATACTATGACGCAAGATAAGGTGGTTTCTACCTTTTGCAACCTCTAAAAATTGGAGAAATTGACAAAATTAAACAGGGAATGAAGGAGCACATCATTCTTTAGCTAATAAGGTACCTACCTACATTCTACAATACTTTTTACCCACATATTCTCATAATCCATTAGTTTCACCCAAGAGTTGTCAGGAACTTATATGGCCTTGGTTTGGTTACATTGGGTAAGGCTAGGTCAGGTAGGATTTAGGCCTGGCTACACTATCTGTTTCCTGCGTGCGTTTTTTGCGAGTTTGTGTGGTTTGCGGAATATCGTTCTAGAAAGAAGCAACATTTCGTTTTTGTTGTTTTTCATATAAACTTTTAACTAGCATAAATGTTTTATTAACTTTTATATAAATATTAAAGAAGTTAAATAAATAATCTTTTTTCTAGATCACAAAATATTCCGCAAATTACTGTAAACCGGGGTGACTTTGTATCACTTTTGACCAGTTTGGTACAATATCTTGTATATCACTTGAGATTTCACTCTGGAAACTGTTTCATCATACCAATTGGACAATTCTCTATCTAACTGAGTACAATAAATGCATTGAAATTTATAATAAATATTTTATTTTTTTACCAAAAAATTGATCATTCTCACCCAGACGTCGGGGTGACTATGATCATTACATTAAAATCACCTTATGTGTGCCATAGGAGCCCTCAGAAGGGGCTTGTGTGATAAAATTACATGTTTTGAATAAAATCAAAGGCTTTGCTTGACAAAAACTCACACATTTTACAGTAAAACTATGAATCATTGAGGTATTAAAATAAAGTTGCATGCTCTGGGTCTAAACCAGGGGGGTACGCTCCGGCTGTTTAGCATTACGAAAAGTGGTGACAGACGTTTGTGGAGAATTGTCGACGAACTCTTGTTCCGCGAGCAGCACTCACGCGCTAGCGGAAAATCCACCAATCAGCGCTCGGCAGTGCTCGACGCTGATTGGCCCGACGCTCGTGACGAAATTGCGGGGGACCGCAGTTATTCTCTATGGACCCGAATAGGGTTTTGGATTTCGGAGGGATTTCTTTAAGATTATATGCTGTTTCGAGCTGTTTTCGAGTTGAAATATATTTCTTATGACTGTTAGCTATATAATGGCACCATAAAATCATGATTTT